AATAAAAGTTTCCCTGAAGAAAAGCTGTCTTTATATCAAGTTGTTCAATTTTTTAAATTTAAGGTGGCGGCCAACCCAAGAACAACTCGAATAGAAAGCATTTTTACAATTGGTGAAATTATCTCTTTAAAGTCAATTCCTTTATTTTGACGAAAGTCCTTCACAACAAGCCTGGCATTGTATCGTGGTTGCAGACTACTTTTTTCCGTCTTCAACTTGTACACCCACTTATTTGTGAGTGTTCTCTTGCCGTTAGGCAACTTCATCAATTCAAATGTGTGGTTCTCATGCAATGATTTGAGCTCCTCTTGCATGGCTTCATATCAGTCATTCTTTTGATCACATGACATAGCCTATTCATAAGTTTCTGGCTCTCCTGCATCAGTGAGTAACACATACTCATGCGGTTGATATCTTTGTGAAGGTCTACGTTCTCTTTTAGATATTCTAACCTGAGATAGGACTGGCTCAACTGTCTCAACTGGCTATTCTTGCTTAACTATTTCACTTGTCTCAATTGAAGAATCAACATTTTGTGAGGATTCACCATCTTCATGATTTCCATGTAATTCTCCCTGTGATTTCCACCCAATACGGTAGGAGGACTTGGGCTGAAACTAACATAATGTTGAGTTACATTATTTGGCCTCCATTGCTTGTCAATGTCTTCAATGATTTGATGCTCAAAGAATACCACATCTCGGCTTCTAATGACTTTCTTTGCAACTGGATTTTATAACTTGTAGCCAAACTCTTCATGTCCATAACCTAAGAAGATACACTGTTTAGACTTGTCATCAAGCTTCGACCTTTCATCTCTTGGAGCATGCACGAATGCCTGGCAATCGAACACTTTTAAGTAATTATACGAAACATCTTTCCCACTCCAAACTCTTTGCGGAACATCCCCCTTAAGAGGAACTGATGGAGAAAGATTTATCAAGTCCATTGCTGTTCTCATCATCTCACCCCAAAATGACTTAGGCAACCTCGCATGAGAGAGCATACACCGAATCTGATCATTAATTGTCCGGTTCATTCTCTCCGCCACTCCATTTTGTTGTGGTGTTTTCAGAACATTCTTCTCAAGCTTGATACTATAATCCCTGCAATAATATTCAAACGGGCATCTATATTCACCACCATTGTCAACTTGAACACATTTCAACTTCTTCCCAGTTTCTCCTTCCACATTGATATGAAATTGTTTGAAAGCAGCAAGCACCTAGTTTTTAGATTTCAAAGCAACAGCCCACACTTTTCTAGAGCAGTCATCAATAAATGTCACAAAGTATAATACACCACCAAGTGTTCTAGCATCCATGCAACAAACACCAGTGTGAACTAAATCAAGTACATTTGATTTCGTATGTGGAGAAGAACTATGAAATGAGAATTTATATTGCTTACCTGTAAGACAATGAGTACATTCCTTCATATTTCTCTACTTCAATGGTAGGAGATTCTTTATCGCAAGAATTTCAAGCCCCTTTTTGCTGAGATGATTGAGTCTCATATGCCATAGGTCAACTGAGGAGTCCTCCATTGCCTTCACCTCTTCCTTGACCAACTTAGCTTGCGTGGTGTAGACAGTGCATGTCTTTTACCCTTAGCCACTATCATAGAACCCTTTGTCAATTTCCATTTGCCATCACTCAAAGCATTGCAGTAACCATCATCATCTAAGGCACTTGTGGAGATCAAGTGAAGTCGAATATTCGGAACATATCTCATATTTTTCAGAAGCAAACTACAACGTTAGTCGCCAAATAAACGTCTCCCATGCCGATAACCTTGGAAACACCACTGTTTCCCATCCTAACACAACCAAAATCACCGCTGCGATAGGAAGTAAAATAGTCATGCCATGAGGGGACATGAAATGAAGCTGCAGAATCAACAATCCAGCTAGAATCTTGGCATGTAAGGTTCACACAACCATTGTCATATATGAACATAATATCGCCATCGGATGGAACTGTCACTGTAACCTATTTCTCTTCTTTCTTTCGATCACCATTTTTATCATAAGATTTATCTCTCTTTGGCAACCAATACTCTGTCATAATGTCCTCCCATCTTGCCACAATTATAGCACTTCACACTCCTCCTCGGCCTTGGTTTCGATCTTCCTCTTGACTTGCCCCTGTTATCATTATTTTGAAACTTTTTTGATTGAGTTCTCACCCCATTTGATATGACAAGAGCCTCCGATTTAGAAGTATAATTCAAGCATTTTCTCCTTGTTTCTTCATTGAACAAGCTTTCTTTAACCATGCTCATAGAAAGTACACCGAACGGAGCCGAATTGTTTAATGCCACAACCAAGATGTCCCAACTGTCGGAAAGAGTACCAAGCAATAGACATGATTGCAGTTCATCACCTAGGCCAATCTCAAGATTTGTCAATTGATTTACAACATTTTGAAATTCACTCAAGTGTTCCGACATGTTACTTCCCTCCTTGTATCTCAAATTCATAAGTTTTTTAACTAGAAAAGCTTTATTTTGTGGGGTTCTCCTCTCATAGAGATCTTATAATTTCTTCCACAAAGTATCCACTTTCGTCTCTTGAGCCACATGATGAAACACACTATCATCAATCCATTATCAAATAAACCCAACTGTTTTCCGATTCATTCGCTCTCATTCTTTGTCTTCCTTATCTCCTTTAGCCTTATCACCATCAACGAGATTATACCAATCTTTCCAACATAACATGTCTTCCATCTAAAATAGAGTAATTTGAGGAATTTAACTTAAACATCGTGCCACTACTTTCCTCCATTTAACACTAGAATCTCAACGCTAGATCTAATACCACTTTATTGGGGAGAACTGGGACAACAATTCGCCAATGACTAAACCTAATCCAGAATCAATATCTCTCCCAAAACCAAACCGACCAAAATCGACTTAATCCTAACAATAACCAACAATATTCCAACAATACAACCCCGCAATTATAAGAAGACAAATGCAATAAACACCAAGATTTAATGTGGAAAACCCAATGCAGGAAAAACCACGGACCACCCAAAAACTTCCACTAATCACCAAGAATAGTAGGATACACAAAGTTCTTTTCTAGTAACACACTAGAGGCACAATATCAATAATGCAACAATATTTACATCATCACGAAGGTGAATTTACATAAATTGAGGAGAAAAATCCTAATCACAATTGGAGAATTCGGAAGAAATTCTCAACAAACAAAACTGATCAACTCTCATCCCTCGATCTCACAAACAACGTACTAAAATTTTAGTCCATTCCGATAACGTTTGGCTTTTGAATATGGACCACAAGATTCAGCCCCTCTTTCCATCTTTCTCCCCTGCACTCTCGGTCGCTGTCGGGGAGGTCCGTGTTTTTCTCTATCCTCGGGCTCACTTGCACGAAGTTGCTCCTCTCCTTTTCTTTTTGTTTTATGTTAGCTGGGCCCCACACATAGAGGTGGACCCAGCCAACAGTTTTTTTAGGCTCTTTTAATTCTCCTTATCTCGTCCATTTAAAATTTAGTGAGTAAATTCTGTTGTTCGTAAATGAAGTCTTGGTCCTAATGAATATTATTTCCGTATGGGTGATTGAGATCGACCCACAGAGAACTTCGCACTAACAGCAGGTGAAAAAATGCACAAGTTCTTTTAGATTCGACATCAAAGGAAACCCTTTTGGCCCTTCAATTATATATTCCGAACCATTAACTAAATCATTAACTGACGTGAATATCTTGTCTTCGCCTGAACGAAGAAGGTGAACTTAGTCTGATGAGTGAACGTCAATTCATGATGCCACCTAATGCCGCTATATCCCCGGAAGAAAAAAAAAGAGAGACCAAATTAAATCATTAGTTTAATAAGAGCTTTCATTAATTGAAGAAGCTGTTCGAAGTCGTCACACGTCCCTTCCCATGAACATGAAGGAAACTAGGAAGTCAATCTTGTTCCTTCCAGTCTTTCTCTAATTGCACCACCATCCACAGGAGAAGTCCCCCTTTTGTGCATTGGATTTCCAAGAAACTACGGCATCGACATGTGGGGACGGCTTCCTTCATTGAGTGGCATCGTAGACTTTGACCGAATGCGTATTAATCAATGGGAAAATTCCATTTTGGTATCCAAAGTGGAAGTGTTTTCTCAATTTGGTACCCAAAGTGAACGCGGTGTCAAATAAGGACCTGAAGTGCTCAATTAATCACAAATAAGGACCCGAAGTGCCCAAAAAATCTCAAATAAGGGCATGGGTCGCCGGCCGGCCAAAATTGCCTGCCGGTCGGCAAGAATGTTATTGTTCCGGCACTGGAACATTAACTTTTTTATTATTTTTTCCTTTCTATTTTTTTTTCCTTTTTCTTTTCTTTTTTTTCTTCTCTTCCTCCACTGGCCATAGCCGAGGCTGGCGGAGGTCGCCTGCCTCAGGCGGAGGCGGCCCTCTCCGGCGTCGGGCGAGGGCCGCCCTCGCCTGGGCTGGGCGAGGTCAGCCTCGCCAATTGCCGGCGAGGTCGAGCCTCGCCAGATCTGGTGAGGGCTCGGCCCCGCCGGCCACTGGCGAGGCTCAACCTCGCCCGACGCCGGCGAGGTCGAGCCTTGCCCAGCAACGGCGAGGTCGAGCCCTCGCCTTTCGGACTTCGGCGAGGCTCGACCTCGCCAGACAGGCCAGCGAGGGCGGCCTCGCCCGGTCCCAGCGAGGCGGCCCTAGCCGGCGACAGCCGGCGAAGGGCGCCTCTGACATGAGGCGGGCGACCTCCGCACGGCCCGGCTATGGCCGCGGCGGAAGAGAAGAAAAAGAAGAAGAAAAAAGAAAAGGAAAAGGAAAAAATAATTAAAAAGTTATTATTCCGATACCGGAACAGTAACATTCTTGCTGGCCGGCAGGCAATTTTGGCCGGCCAGTGACCCAGGCCCTTATTTGAGACTTTTTGGGCACTTTTAGGGCCTTATTTGACACCGTGTCCACTTTGGGTACCAAATTGAGAAAACGCTTCCACTTGGGTACCAAAATGGAATTTTCCCTTAATCGGGAAAACAGCCTTTCGAAATGAGTCTCCAGATTGGGAGATTTAATGCTCCTAAGCACTTCTAGCTTCGTTCGCGACGCCCGGAGAGCAAAGAGAGCGAGGTTGAGGTGGTCGATCATCCATGGAAGAAGAACGCTCTGCTGAATGTTACGATGGCACCAAGACCCGGCAGCCGGTGAAGAAGACGTGGGCTTCGGCCACCGTTCTGATGCTGTCAATCGTGTTTATTCTGTCTGGCTTCGTCGTCTCCTGGATAGACTTTGTAAGCTTCATATTGATCTAAAACCACCTTTTGTTTCACATTTCCATGCTTGCTTTGATCTTTTAGTAGTATTCTTAGAGCATAATAACATGGCCTTGATGTATCATATATCCTATTATCGAAATCTTGATTTTTTTTCGTTTTTCTCTCCATTTTTTTTCCTGCGCCCTGCTGGTCACTTGGACAGTACAGTAATCTAAACTTTAGATCCTAGTTTGTTAGCGCCGAAGCAAAAATTATCTGCAGATTCTGATCTCTCTCAGAGAAAATATTGGGTGGGCAACCTGCGCATCTATACTGATTGTCTATGTTTTGTATTGCAGTCTACTTTGACAGGCGCTTTCATCTTCAGGACTACGACTGTGGAAAGACCAGGAAATTCCACTCGGGAGGTCGGATACCCGCTCATCTGCACGAACTACACGCTGCAGTCATGTCCGATGAATTATCCGGCAACGCATCAAATCAAGGATATATACACCGAGGGATGTCCAGAGTACTTCCGGTGGATCCACGAGGATCTTCGGCCCTGGAAGACGGCAGGGATCACGCGGGAAATGTTGGAAAACAGCAAAGGGCACGCACATTTTCGGCTCGTGATACTTGATGGAAAGGCATACGTGGAGAAGTACAAGCCAGCCTTCCAGACGAGGGACGTGTTCACCATCTGGGGGATTTTGCAGCTCCTTAGGTTGTACCCTGGGACGGTGCCAGACTTGGAGCTCATGTTCAACTGCAACGACACGCCGGTGATCCGGAGGCAAGATTACCGAGGCTCGAAAGCAGAGGAGGTCCCGCCTTTGTTCCACTATTGCGGGCACAACACGACCTTCGATGTCCCTTTCCCGGATTGGTCCTTCTGGGGTTGGTAATACCCTTGAAGATTATCAGTTCACAGTTTTCATCAAGCTCCCAACAATCTGTCACGAACCCATCATTCACTATTTGCTGCATCATTTATACTATGATTTTTGGGAGATAGCATTGAATTTTTCTTTATACGGCTGTATTAACTATGGTTAGGCCTGAAGTGAACATAAAGCCATGGGAAGACATTTTAGCGGCCATAGAAGGCGAGGCGGAGCTGATCAAATGGAAGGACAGAGAGCCCTACGCTTTCTGGAAAGGCAACTACGGACTGGCCAAGACCAGGGTCGATCTCTTCAGGTGCAACAACCGTTCAAGAACCGATTGGAAAGCTCGCTTGTATGCCCAAGTAATTTCCTATCTGCACATGACTATGATTTTGATGGTGTCACATATTTCCACTGTGGTTCCCACGATCGAGATCGGGAGACGAAAGGTCAACACAAAATTCTTACGTTGGTTATTGTTCAGGACTGGCAACACGAAGTCGCGCACGGATTCAAGCACTCGAATCTAGAAGACCAGTGCACTCATAGGTGAGTGTTAGGGCTTTCAATTTCACCATCTCTATTGTTTTTTTCCTTTCACAAAATTTCAGAATTTTAGGCTTGCATGGTCCGACTTACGCATAATCTGTATTAGCTTGCACTTACAAAACAAAGTCTGCATTTGCCTGCATGAACTTGAAACGTGGAAAGGTACAAGATCTACATAGAAGGAATTAGCTGGTCGGTGAGTGAGAAGTACATTTTGGCATGCGATTCCATGACGTTGCTGGTAAGGCCGGAGTTCTACGATTATTTCATTAGAGGGATGATGCCAATGGAGCATTATTGGCCAATTAGGCCGAATAACAAGTGCAGAGATATCAAATTTGCTGTTGAATGGGGAAACAATCACACTGAGGAGGTTAGCAACAATCCCCTATTTTGCTCTAGGCCTTCATTACGTTCTTTCCTCAAACTTGTGACCACTTGACAATCGAACAGGCACAGAGGATTGGCGAGAGCGGGACCAAGTTCGTCAAGGAGAGCTTGAAACTGAAGTTCGTGTACGATTACATGTTTCACCTGCTCGGCGAGTACGCGAAGCTCCTGAAGTTTGAGGTAAAGGTGCCCCCGGGAGCAGCCGAGCTGTGCTCGGAAGTGATGGCGTGCCCGGCGGACGGGCTGCTGAGGAAGTTCATGGCCGAGTCGATGGTGAAGTCTCCTAGCGACGTGCTTCCATGCTCGTTGCCGCCTCCTTACGACCTGGTTGAGTTCAAAGCTTTCATTGAGAGAAAAGAGAGTGTAACTAGGCAGGTAGAGATGTGGGAGGCTGAATTTTGGAAGAATCTTGAGAAGCAACTCTAGATTTACCTTATTTGATCACTTTATATTTTGTTTCAATTTCAATTGATGGTTGATTATCCAACAAAAGAAAAGGAAAAACTGTTAGCACAGAGCTAAATTAAATAATATTCACTAAATGGTACATATCTTCCATGTACCTTCAGGAATCAAGCAATTGCGCCCTCGCCTTGTTGCCCGTAAATGAATCAAATCAAAGGGCTTATTTTGCCATCAATTAGGAAGTCTTGGTCAGACGAAAAAAGATGTGTTTCAATGTAAATTCTATGTCGTTGTTGGCTAAAAGATGGAATTTTGTTCGTGCACAATTTTGGATCGTGATTCTAATTAAATCTAACATAGACTAACGGATCAAATTAAATAAAAAAGAACGTGTAACTGATTTAACAGGTCGCCAATCAATTTGTTTTTTGGGTTGAAAAACATGACGATATTATTGAAAGCTTAAGAGTTTGTAAACAAAATAACCAGCCCCAGGTCAACCAAATAAAGTAAATCTCAAAGAGGTTGGGGGGCCGGGCTACCCAAGAGGAGGGTGGGGAATTCATTCTGCGGCCCTTAACTATCCAATCGGCTACACGATTTGCGGACCGACCACAATGGGCCGAGGTGATATTTTCAAAAGAGCCCATCAAGGATTTGTTGTCGATCAATTTCATCCGCCGATTAAATAGGAACTTCTTATGAAAAAGTTTCTTAATTATGACGTGAACTCGCTGCACGTCCAGACTCCAGACTACTTGGGAAAACTCTACGAAAAAGGGTACATCCACTAAACAATAAGGTAAGATCTTTTCATGGAATTCAATAGGCAATTGAAACCACCTTTCGATTTTGCATTATTATACAGAGATATAATGTTTTTTTACTTGGCCAAAAAAAAGAGTTAGGCTTAGATTCATGACCACTCTAAAATAGGAGAAAAGAACCCTTAGAAAACGAGAGAAGTTAGGTAACTGGCCTACGTTAGGTTCGTTGGAAATTAAGAAGAGTTAGGACCAGGCGCAACATGGACCGGTCTTTTGCAAGGTTCGCAAGTTTCTCTGAGGACTCTCCTGACGCTGAGCGTTCTTCGTCTGTTTATTCACTCAATCAATGACCACGGATTTGGACTAGACTCGGTCAAGAGGGACGAACATTGATGGAAAAATGTGTTCTTCCCTTTCATAAAATTTTTTTGGTCCATGTGATTTGATTTGTACCGTTTTCCGACAGACTAGTTCAAAGATCCAGAGAGCCGAACGGACCCGTTTGGAAACTTCAAGCACAACCAAGCCGAGGCTTTGCTTTTTTTCGCACCGTCCTCGTGGCGACGGGTCTCGTGTCTCATGGATGAATAATCACTCCATCTTCGTCCTAAGATCCGGCATAGAGTTGTACCATGTGAATCTGTTTCATCGTGGCTCTCTCTTGCATAGAAGGACTTGCACAAACTACACTTCTTCCTGTGTTCCTTCATGGGGCAACAAAGAGGGTGACTCGAAAGTCAACCACTTCTACTTCAACTCTTGCTTAGCGTCGACCAAAAAAAAAAAACTCTTGCTTAGCAAATGACCTCCAAAAAGAAAAAGTGGTTTCTTTCTTGGCAATAAACCCCAACATGGGGAGAAAAAACTTGAGTAGTCTGCAAGTGTCCTACTCTATGTGCAGAATCCACAAATTATCTCCACCTGTGCAGTAGTTTTCAAGAAAAGTACCACCACACATGTGACGGAGGGACGCTCCCTGTAATCCTAGGTTGAAGATAAGCTCAAGAGTTCCTTGCGACAAGATTGAAGACAACCTTAGAGTTCCTTGCCAGTGGGAGCCTTGGCGTCCTGACTTGCAATTAGGCGGGCTCCATCAATGCTTTTTTTATTTTAACGTATCGGTACTCGCATGCCCCAGCCCTTCTGTTGGGTCAAAAAAATTTTCTTGTCCCGATCCCGACAATATCCGTACTTCATTTTTACACCTTGTGGTTCAGGTGTAGCCTTTTAAGAATAGGCTAAGGTCCGGTCCTTCTCTATGTGCAGAACCGAAAAAATATCTCCTCCTGTGCAGTGGTTTTCAAGAAAAGTATAGCCAAACAAGTGACAGAGCTTCCTTAATAGAGAGGCATTGACTTTGATCAAAATGCGTAAGCATGTTAAATTCCAATAGACCAACTTTCCTTTCGCGCTAAGTAAGTCGAAGAGAGCTGCTTGCATGATCGTCTGATGGTGTGACGGTCAAAAGCTAGCCACAAAATTTTCCTTTATCCATCACAACCGCGTGGAAATTTCCAAGCAAAACACAGGTCTCTTTCTCTCTTATGAAAATGTGTGGCTGAGGGTTCACGGTCCATTTTCCAAGATGACGGTACCGTTATGCAAGCGTTTTCCAGGAATTAAAACAGTAGAATTAGAATTCTGATGCACCGAGCTAATTTCCAGGAAGAGAATGAAACAGTAGACTCCAAGGAAGGCAGTATTACTAGGGGGATTTCGCTTCAACATGGGCTAATCAGGTGACTTCGAAACAAATTCTAGTTTAATATTAGACCGCCTTCGGTTCAAACCGGGTTAATTAGTAGTAGTAATCTGTGAATGAACGATGAATGCTTAAGTAGGATTGTGACATTTTTGTTTTGATGGGCATGAAATAAAGTTGGCAGACCGAATGAGGCGTTAGCTAAGATCAAATGGAGGAGGAGAAGCTCCGCGGTTTGCCATCGTCCAAAAGAACTCCTCGGTCGCTAAAGGTGTCGGCTTCAGCTGCCGTTTTCGTCTTGTTCTTGATCATAGTTCTCAGCGGCTGCATCATCTCAGGGCTAGATATTGTGAGTCCAGTGCCACCTACCTTCTTTCCCGTATTTAATTTTTCATCGTCTTCTAGTGAACTCGTGTTATTCACTGATTTCCTGATCAATCAGACGCGAAACAAATGACGATTGCCATGGATTAGATTAGCATATAGCCACTAAGTTGTAGAGTAAAATCTGGTGCCCAGAAAATAAGGTGCAAATTAGCTAATTTAGATTCGACACATGTTTGTGTCTTTACTAGCAGATCCAGATCGGCTTGCAAACTTCTTAATAACAAAAGTTTGCTCTCTGTTATTATATAGTGAAAGCACCAAAAGAACTTAGATGTGGAATTAACATTCTTATGCTCCTAGACTAAATTTTGCATCTCTGTCTTTTATCGTGCATTGCAGTTTATTTTTCCAGGTGGGTCATTGAGGGAAGTGTTTAATGTCAATAAAAGCCCGGAAAATTCGATGTGGTTGTACCAAAAGATCAAGTACCCTCTCAACTGCACCAACGCAACCAAGCTGCAGACATGCCCAACAGATTATCCGGCAACGTTCCAACCCACAGACTTGTATGCCATGGAGTGTCCAGAGTACTTCCGGTGGATCCACGAGGATCTCCAGACCTGGAAAAGCACAGGAATCACAAAGGAAATGGTGGAGAGAACAAGAGGCCTTGCACACTACAGGCTGGTGATTCTCAAGGGTAGGATCTATGTGGAGCACTTTGGGAGGCCCTACCAAACAAGAGATGTGGGAACAATATGGGGGATTGTGCAGCTCCTGAGGTTGTACCCGGGAAAAATACCGGATCTTGAGTTGATGTTTTATTGCAATGACCAGCCGGTGATCATGAAGAGCGACTACCAGGGACCGAATGCCACATCGCCTCCACCGTTGTTCCGCTTCTGCGGAAATCAGTCGGCCTTTGACATCACTTTTCCTGATTGGTCATTCTGGGGATGGTAATTCCTTACACTGTCTATCTAGTTATGAAATTGATCCTTCGGTTGTTTCAAATTTACTTTGGTAAACCAACTTGCTTTAGGAATATTGGTCGAGAATTTTCATTTTCTTTTCATTTCATAATGTCTGATATAGGGCCGAGATCAACATAGGGCCGTGGGAAAGTACCGTGAGAGCCATTAGACAGAACTCTGAGAGAATCAAGTGGAATGATAAAGTACCTTATGCTTACTGGAAGGGCAACACAGGCGTCGCAGCCACCAGGCGAGACCTAATGAGGTGCAATGGACAGGACTGGAAAGCTCATCTCTATCAACAGGTAAATTCACTTCAACAATGGTCGGTCAGTCCTATCGTACTTGAAAAATAATCCCTGAGCCTCTTGTAATGCCCTGGCTTTAGTATATGCAAGCGACTCGTTTATGGGATCCTGCATAAAGCAGAAGTTATTGGCAGCACTTACTCGTCAAGTTGGGTAGTACTTGAGCCAAAGTTGGCCTGTTTACTTTATAGTAATTTAAGCCAAGGGAGATTAGAGTAACTTGAAAGGGGCTAGAGTATAATGTCTAATGCGAAATGCAAGGAGGACCATGTGCCTCATATAAAATTCCAATAAAAATAACACAACCTTTTTTCACTAAGCTGGGCGCCATACATAAATCCCCATTTTAAGAGGTTACAAAGAAGTATATAGTGATGATTGAGAATGTGAAAATGACAATCTGGTTCACATCCAGGATTGGTCTCGTGAAGCTAGGCAAGGATTCAAGCAATCAAAGTTAGAAGACCAATGCACCCACAGGTAAGCAAATGGACCCTTATGCGTTTTCTCCTTCGTCCTTCCCCATAAATTGACTGGCTGATTTACCTCACTGCTTCGACAAAATTCGTGTAAAAGGTACAAGATTTACGTGGAAGGAGAGGCGTGGTCGGTGAGTGAGAAGTACATTATGGCATGCAACTCGATGACCTTGATGGTAAAGCCCGAGTTCCTCGATTTCTTCACAAGAGGGATGATCCCTTTGGAACATTACTGGCCCATTAGGCCAGACAACAAGTGCAGAGATATCAAGTTTGCAGTTGAATGGGGCAACAATCACCCTCAAGAGGTAAGGAAAATCCTCTCGAGTTCATTGTTTTGCCCTCTCTGATTTTTGTTCTTTTTTCTCAGCAAGTGATATAGGGGATTGCATGATTAAACAGGCACAGGTTATTGGGGACAGTGGAAGCAAATTCATGGAGGAGGGTCTAAAGATGAAGAATGTATATGATTACATGTTTCATCTTCTCACCGGATATGGCAAACTTCTCACATACAAGCCAGAGATACCTCCAGGAGCGATCGAATATTGTACAGAGACAATGGCGTGCCCTGCTAAAGGGTTGTTTAGAAAAAACATGCTCGAATCGATGGTGAAGTCCCCTAGCGATTCGCTTCCGTGCACACTGCCACCGCCTTATGAACCGGGAGAACTTCAAGCCTTTCTCGAGAGGAAAGAGGGAGTTTCAAGACAAGTGGAGCGGTGGGAAGCCGAATACTGGGAGAAAATGAACAAGAACCGATGAATGCTACTTTAACTTTCTTCGCCATTCTCAGGATAATTGTCAGTCAAGCATTTGTACTCATCTTTTTTGTTTTTTCAAACTTCATATTCTTAGGTTCCAATTTCTAGGCTGCTGGTGAAAGTTTCCTATGGATCAGACATGGAAGCATGAGTAACACATACGTCGCAGTGAATACGAATAAATGTTGATTCTCTATCTGGAGTTTGTCTTGTCTTCTCTGACTTCAATACCCTGAAAGCTAGGTATATATATAAACACTGAAAGATTGGTCTGGTCAAACTAATAGCATCAGAACACACTACGTAAGAATGATTCCACTGAGTTGAATTTCTCATGTGAGGAAGGTTAATGCAGGTCATCGTACACGTTATTTGTTATGCCAGAAAGAAAGAAACGACATGTATGGAAGGGACGAACATGACTAAATGGATGCTAGTTTCCCTTCAGTAAAATGGTACATGCGTGACGGACCATCAAAGAAGAAAACGAGCACGCTACAAAGAAAAATGATGTGGAGGGGTTCAAGATCATCGAGAGTAGACACTGGAGGTTTGACTGATTATAGCGCTCGTCCTCTTACGATATCGATGCTCATCTCACTAGGATCAGTAGCTTGCAGCTCGACTTGAATCCCGTCCAATTCTCTCTTGAATCTGTCTTTCGAGCTGGCGTAGAGCATCTTGCTCCTCACCCTTGACGTATCAGGCGACCTAAGACAAAGTTGAATATGATGAGTTAATAGATGAAATTAATCAGGTACTGCATTAGACTCCAGAATTTGGACCAGGAATGGATGATTATCATGGATAAGATACTCATCCAATTCTGTTTCTCTGACAAGAAACAGGTAATTCTAGAGAATTGTTTTATTCATGCAGTTACTGTGAGTGTCTGTTAAGATTATGATCCTAATTAAGTTTCAATCATTCATATGGTAAATGACAATTATTGTTCTCACCATGCAATGAAGAAAATCTTGCTTTTCTGGCAATTCTCATCAGTCGTGAAATCGAAGTCAAACACAGCGTATCGGCACTCATCGGCAGGCAAACTGGCGGTGAAATCGTCATAGGTTTCGTCTGGACTACCGAGTTTCTCTATTGTCACCTGTTGGATCTTCTCTACGATCTTGAACACGATGAATCTGTAAATCCTCTTTGCTTTTAGCTCCAAGAACTTAAGCTTGCACTCATCGTCCACTGCCATTCCAGATGACGAATTTGCCTATACATGTATTGTTGAACAATCAAACGATCATTGCATGCTAGTGACCGCTAAAATGAAATTAACATGCATACATTAAAAGGTGAAAGCAGGTTATTTGGTCATTATACAATTGCTCAACATGAGAATTATATCAACATTGTCAAAACTCATATAAGATACCAAGTGACCAACATGGGTTCTATTTTTCTTTTTAAGTCCATAGAATCTGCAATCTCCATATCAGATAATTCACAAATGCGGATTGATCGGGTGCATTGCACAAAAGATGATTCTAGTTTGCACTTCCTTGGATACAAAAAGAAAATGTGCATCATATTTTAAGCAGACTGATCTTGTTTAATCCTTGAAAAACATCAAAATATGCACTAAAACGTGCATAATGTTAGAAAATGAAAGAAGGGCTTTACTAGAAAGTACCATGTTGATGCCTGCCAATGAGAGATGATCCTGATGAGAAGTGAGAAGCAGAAAAGTGAAAGATTGAGAGACTGAAAAACAATGAACAAAGAGACCCCGAGTTATATAAATCTGAAGTATTGTGGAGGTCAATTTGTGAGGGAAAGAGGAGGGAGGTGACTGGGAGAGAGTGTTTTAAGGGAAAAATAAGGGGTTAATTTTAGAATTCATTTCTTGGCTTCTGACAGGTGATCATGTGCTTGAGTTTTTGTCCAATTTAGGAATTAGGAGTTACCCAACGATGGGTTTTTGAGTTTTGACCATGTTTTTACTCCACCTGGTTCAGCTGCCAAAGGTTGGTTCTCCGTGTAGTTCGCCAGTTTGTTTGTTTCTGTCCTGAAAATGCAAACTAGGAAAGGTCAGGTCCATTGGGTTGGGCCTTAAAAGGCCCTTCCAAATAGTCACATTTGAATTCCAGTCAAAATAAATGTATGAGGTGGTTTTGAAGTTAAGAAAAAATTGCAAAAAAAAACAGAGCTGGAATTTCAAACGTGAAAGATTTCAGAAACCCATTTCTTAAATGAAGTAACTATGAAGAAAAAGGAAAAGAAAAGAAAAAAATAACTAATCAAATAGGTTGAGATAAGTATGAACTCAGTCGTTTCACTTGCTAATTATGATCCGGAAAATTAAGAATTAAATATGGAGGCACTTAGCTAGACATTCCGTTCCTTATATGTAATTTACAAAATTCTTTGAAGGGATAATAATACAAACAATCCTTGAACTTTGGTCCAATGTGCAATGTGATCCATAAACTTTAAATTTATTCAATGTAGTCCTTGAACTTTAGCCCAATGTGCAATATTGTCCCTGAACTTTTAATTTGAACAATGTGATCCCTAGACTTTTGGTACATGTTCAATTTAGTGCTTGGATTGTATGAATATGTTTAATGTTATCCTTCCATTAATTCAAATTCAAGGATATCATTGAACATTTTCATACAGTCTATAGACTAAATTAAATAAAGGGTTAATACCACGAAAAATTCCAAACTGGTACATCTATGACAAATTTACCTCAAACTATTTTTTTTACCACAAAAAACCCCAAACTGGTACACCTGTGATAATTTTACCCCGAACTATTTTTTTTACCACCAAAAACTCTACATTGGTATACCCGTGATAATTTTACCCCGAACTATTTTTTTACCACCAAAAACCCTACACTGGTACACCCGGGTGAACTAATTTTTTGACCACTAAAAACCCCAAACCGGTACACCTGTGACAAATTTAGTTTCCATTAAATTTTACTACTAAATTGCTAAGTTCGATGACACGTGGTAATTGACGAGTGTACCAGTTTGGGATTTTACCCCTCTGTTTATCACAAGTTTACCAATTTGTGATTTTTTGTGATATTAATCCAATTTAACGGATACTAACGGAAGGTAAATTTGTCACAAATGTACAAGTTTAGGGTTTTTAGTGGTCAAAAAAATAGTTTAGGGTAAAATTGTCATATGTGTATCAGTTTGGGGTTTTGGGTGGTCAAAAAATTAGTTCGTGGTAAAATTGTCACAAGTGTACCAGTTTAGGATTTTTCGTGGTATTAACCCTTAAATAAATACCAAAAGTTCAGGGACTACATTGAATAAATTAAAAAGTTCAAGGACAACATTACACAATAGGCTAAAGTTCAAGAACACATTGAATAAATTTAAAGTTCAAGGACCACATTACATATTGGGCCAAAGTTCAGAGACCACTGTGTCATTTACTGTTTTCTTTGCTTTTTAATCTTAAAAACTTAACACTAATCACGATCTATCTTAGTCATGCATGGAGGGGGAAGAATATGTAGGATCGAGTTTATTTTATTATAATATATATTTTGCAAGTTCTTGTCAACATCCGTTGTAGTCTAGTTGGTTAGGATACTCGGCTCTCACCCGAGAGACCCGGTTCAAGTCCCGGCAACGGAATTTTATTTTACTTGTTTTCTTGTCCTGATTTTGTAATGATCTGTCTAATATTATGGAAAATGAGCAGGCATAGAAAAAGAAAAAGGCGACCGTAAAATCGTCCTCCTTGCAAGTGAATCAAGGATGTCGTCAAAATCCCATAATGTAGCTCTTTTTTCCACTCCTTTATCATTTACTTTCGTGACATATATAGATCATCAAAATTTGGAATTTGGGCATTTGCAGGACTCTTATCATCAATTTCAATTGTAGTTATATGTAGCAAGCAAAGCAGGCCGATAGTTTGTTTTACAGTTTGAGATTCTGCTAAAAACAGAGGAAAAGATGTCAGTGTCACGGAGACGTTTGGTTACGTCTTCTGTTGGTTCATGTTTAGAACCTTAATGGGTGTATTTTAGGATCCTAAGGTGGCAGACAAGTTCCGTAACGGGAATGGAGCCTTATTTTGCTAGCAATTAGAAGACAATTCCAATCTAGATGTCTGCTAATCGAAATGTTTAATCATGTCTGCGTGATTCGGATGAGGATCGGACAAAGTCTCGGTCAGCGACGAATCCAAGTTCTCTTCATCGGTTAGAGGATGGAATAAGCATATATGAGATAGTAGTCAACTGTTTTGCTTCAACGTAAGGCCGTATCGCTGATGTTGATGGGAAGTAGCCATCGTTAGTTCCTTCTGTATTATGCAGCTTTCGATTGCCTTTGAAAACTGTCATGCCAGATTGTGCTGTGTTATTAGTACCACCTTTGATTTCTTATATATATAGCTCTACATGACTCCCTTTTCTAGCATCGAGAGCTAAAAGGCAAGAACATCTTACAAAGACAGAAAATGAAGAACTTTAGCTTGAAATGCTTGGGCTCATTGCTTCTTGATCTTCTGGCTATGAGTTGTATGGAAGTTCAAGGTCAGTCTTGCAGACCGAGCGGCAGAATCAGAGGGAAGAATCCCCCTCCCTGACAATGCAACACCGGGGACGACTCGGAGTGTTGCAAAAAGGGCCAAATGTAGCCGATTTACAAGTGTTCGCCGCCGGTGTCAGGCCACACCAGCGCTCACCTCACCCTGAACAGCTTTGAGGAGGGCGGAGATGGAGGTGGGCCATCTGAGTGCGGCAACCAGTACCATTCCGATGACACGCCTGTCGTGGCACTATCCACGGGGTGGTTCGATAACATGAGCAGGTGCCTCAGGAACATAACGATCTACGGCAATGGGAGGAGCGCCCAGGCTATGGTGGTGGACGAATGTGACTCGACCATGGGATGCGGTGAAGATCACGATTACCAACCTCCATGCGATAACAACATTGTCGATGCGTCCAGAACTGTGTGGGAGGCCCTGGGGTCTAAGGAGAATTGGGGCTGGCTTGACCTTACATGGACCGATGCCTAGTTCTTTGTGCTATGCTTATCACATACTTATATGTACCTATCGAACAATGTACTTATAACAAATACCTGTACTAAATATAAAGATACTTCCTTTATGGATCATACGCAATTTGAACTATGGCTGTGAGCATAGCTTCTCCGTGCAGAATGTTGAGTGACTGTATAATTGCTTACTGGAATGTTTTTCATCATATGTCAGCCTTGATGTTTAAGATGAGCTTAGCTATGATGATACCTGATTAAAGAAGTAAGCATACGCGACGAAAAACGAGAGAGCAATGGCGAGTGGCCTGTCCAGAATCTGTGCCCAATCTGCTGCTGCGTACGAAAATGCTTCTAGTTAGAAAGTTTCAGCCCATGAAGCATAATTCTGACGTTATTCCCTCTATAGCCAGTAAGCTAGTGCTTTTGCAGCTGAATTATGGGCACTGATAGATGGAGTTAGGCTGGCTGTTGAGAATGACACTACCCGTTTGCATATTGAGCTAGTGGCCACTGGTGTTATTCAACCTATAGAAAATCAGCACTCAGCATTATAAAAAATGTCTTCTCTTATATTTGACAGATTTTTATTTACCTTTTTTTACTGACAACCTGAGTTTATCTATTATTACATGAAAGTACCAACCTTTATTTGAGCGGCTAACCAACTATTCTGTAATTAAATTATTAGCTAGTTTTAGGGTACCAGCTCTCATTTGAGTTGTTTACCAATATTTCTTTTTTAACTATTCTCCTATGTTTAATTAACATATATGGGGTAATCTGAAAATACGTCCGACTACGTCGTTACGTGCCTGCTTGGTGATGCTTTTGCTTTCTTCAATTTATTACAGGGTCTTGTAAAGTCGCGTCTGTGATATAATAGATGGAACGTGTACTATCAAACTGAAAGTACTGGATATTACCATCAAAAGAAGTACTGAAAAGAGCTAAATAATTGAAGTTCTCAGGTTAATTATATCATCCCAAAACTCCTCCTCAGTTGGACTTGGGGTGCATTATCTGAATAGGTCAAAATATCAGGTAATGACCACCCAGGGCCTGCCTGGTCCATAACTTGGCACATGTTCTAACTAATTTTTTTTTATTTGGGTTGTAATTTGGAAAGGTCAACTGGATAAACATAGTGTCTGATTTAGTCAACAAGTTTACTGACATAATACTTCACTAGCTCATAATTCTCAATAAATAAGACTACAGAGAGTGGAAACTACTCCATTGAAAAAAAAATTAGTATGAAATTATCAAAGTAATGTGATTTGACAGATGATCTAAGCTAAAGGAACAAGAAATAAGTAGAAAAAGAAAGTTGCAGCTTGACATTTGACAGAGGAAAGCACACAAGAGAAGTGTGGTCCAGCTCCAGCTCCAGCCTGTTGATACTAAAAACGAAAGGAGGTCAAGTGTAGAGAGACGTCGTCGTTTCGGTTTCGCACGAAAGATGAAATGATTACGGCGGGAGTGATGGAGGCAAACAGCAACTCGGAAGAGATGGAAAGCCAGAGAAAAAGTTCGGAACTTTGAAGAGCTTTTGAGCCGCTGGTCCCTCCTCTCCAACTGTCACACCATGCGACTTCCTCAGTCCTAAGTTTCTCTCTCTTGTCCTTGAAACGTTACGGGCCAAGAATCATTCGAGGATGGGAAAACGATAGTGTTCATTGAATAACAATCTTTCTTGAATTATTACACTACTAGCAACACCAACGACGCCGACACCAACTTGTTAAAATAACGTCAAGATTCTGCGGCTTTGAGCAGAAGTTGGTGGCATGTCGGAGAAATTATTTGTTCTTTCTTTAGTTCATCGTCTGCAGCAACAAACCAGCCTCGTACGCTCAATGTATTTTGTCCGGTATGTTCTTTATGAGATGTTGTTTTTCTTTACATGGTTTTGATCCAATCTGAGCTGATCCAAGCTATGACGTTAACATTGTCAGTCCATTGGGAATTCTTTCTTTTTCTTACCCCCCGTCGGCTTGACCAGATCTCTTCTCGTCAAAGCTGTAAAGTAACCACGTTTTTTCGGAGTCTGCTCATAAGTTAATCGACTTTTGGTTGTTCGAGGAGTTGGAGATTCATGGGAAATTGAGAAGTGGGCGCTTGGATTCGGTTCTGAGTGTTTTCACTGTAGCGGAAGTTTGGATCTTGCCTGGAGAATTGTTGGTTGGACCGAGAAAGTGAAGATTTTTTGCGCAGTGATTGGCCCAAGGTTCAAAGCGGCTTCACGAGTTGGTTTTTCAGTGATTTCGTTCATTGGAGATTGGAGATTTTTTTTTTCTCTTCTTTTTCCAATGTTCGTGGTTTAAAGAGCTGATCGATGGGAGATAAATACTGGGTTTAAGGCATTGGAAGCTGGGTTTTTGCTACATCATTGATTTTGTTTCTGCTTCACTGACCCTGAGTTGACTCTGAAGCTTGAAGCTTCTTAGCTGGTAAGATACTACCTGTTTGCTCTCTCTCTCTCTCTCTCTGTCTCTCTCTCTCTCTGTCTCTCTCTCTCTCTCTCTATGTTTTATGTTTTGTTTGAAGAGGTAAAGAAATGGGCAACTTGTGGATTTTGAATGCTCTGCTAGTGATACTGAACATCTTTCTCTCTGTTTTATGTTTTGCCTGAAGAGGTAAAGAAATGAGCAACTTGTGGATTTTGAATGCTCTGCTAGTGATACTGAACATCTCTCTCTCTCTCTTTTATGTTTTGCCCGAAGAGGTAAAGAAATGAGCAACTTGTGCATTTTGAATGCTGCTAGTGAAACTGAACATGGGTATAGAGAGAGAGGATTTTTATTGTCAAGGAAAAGAAATGTTGTCCGGATTGGCCAATTCAGTTTCTAAGTCTGAATGGATCGAGGATGGTCGCTCCTTATAAGTTGTGCCTGGGATTGTACACTCTATTATGTCAACACTTTCTCCTTTCATTTCCGACTTCATTGCTTGTGGATAAAAAGAAGCAAGGAGTTTCGAGAAGAACACTTGTTTTAATTTTCTCAATTTTTTTGGTTCCCCTGATATTTCTACTGCTGATTTCTCCTTGTTGTGTGATAGATGTAAAATTGCTGAGATAGCTGCTTCGTCGAAGAGGGTAGCCAAGATCCGCGTTTTAATTTTTGACTTGGAGATGGGGTGTCAGTTCTCCAAATTGGCACCATGTTGCTGGGAGTCACAATTCAAGCGATCGGTCCTCGAAATTGCTGATGTTGGTGCGTAAATCACATGTAGCACTTATTCCTCGTAGGAACTTGAGCATATTATTACTCGTGTTCTTACATCGTTATCCTTTTCCAGAGAAAGATGAGTTGGCTGAACCTAAGTCCTTGCCTGCATTCCGAGAGTTCACGTTCGAGCAGCTTAAGAAGGCAACGTCAGGTTTTGCAGTGGAGAATATTGTGTCGGAGCATGGAGAGAAGGCTCCCAATGTCGTCTACAAAGGAAAGCTAGAGGACCAGAAGCGAATTGCAGTCAAGCGATTCAATAGAAATGCTTGGCCTGATTCCCAGCAATTTTTGGTATTAAGTCATTCTGTTATATGTTTTTCTCTCCTCTTTCTCATGCAAAACATTGTGTTTTCTCTTTTCCTTTTGTTTCTTTCTCCCGTTGCATATATATTTCTATATGTGAGAGTTATGGGACAATAGTCACTCTCGATTTCCACAAGCAAATGTTAATCGTGAAGAAAGGGCAATGCTTGTGCACTTTTTCTCTGTAACAGCACATCAATTTGATACGTTTTTTTGCAAGTATAGGAGGAGGCAAAGTCAGTTGGTCAGCTGCGAAATAACAGATTGGCAAATTTGCTGGGTTGTTGCTCTGCAGATGACGAGAGGTTGCTTGTTGGAGAATACATGCCCAACGAAACGCTTGCAAAGCACTTATTTCATTGTAGGTCCTTTTGTTAACAAGCATAAGTTTTTGTGTACAAGTTGTGTCAACATGTGTTCTGGTAATCTGATTAAGTGCCCTTTCCATGCAACCTCAGTACAACTGGTTATTGTCCTAAAATTTAACTTTCTTGGTGAAAGTTTGTTGTAAATGGCTTTACTAACCCATAAACAAGTTCAAGCGCTTTACTCTCAAATTAGATTTGATCTTTTGAATCAGGGGATTTGCAACCCATGAAATGGCCTATGAGAACGAGGGTTGTCCTTCATATTGCACAAGCGCTGGAATACTGCACAAGCAAAGGGCGCGCCCTTTATCATGATCTTAATGCATATAGAATACTGTTTGATGAGGTAAAAGTCTGGTTAATCCCGTAGGCAAAGTCAGTCTCCTTCATGTTTTATTTGTTATATTCATGATCAGATCTTTTCAGGATGGTAATCCTAGACTTTCAACCTTTGGCCTCATGAAAAATAGTAGGGATGGCAAGAATTATAGCACAAATTCGGCATTTACACCTCCAGAGTACCTGAGAACGGGTACAGATTCCAATGCAACATGCACTTATCTACTTATCTGTTTCTCCTGGTTGTACAAGTGCTCATACAACATATATTGTTCTTCTATTTTCACAGGCAGCGTGACGCCAGAAAGCGTTATATATAGCTTTGGTACTCTTCTGCTTGACCTTCTAAGTGGAAAACATATACCCCCGAGTCATGTAAGTTTCTAAGTTTAAGCATTATCTGGGCTGATATTTTTTATTTTCTCTTGATATATGATGACACTGCATCAAACAACCTCTTTTTCATATGCTTCATGGAATAAGTATTGCCTTTTTTCCTTTATGTATCTTTTAAGCTTTACCCCTTTGACCCTGAATCTCCACTGATCTCTATCAGGCCCTCGACTTAATAAGGGATCGGAATCTGCAGACGTTGATAGATTCTTGCTTGGAAGGACAGTTTTCTGATGACGATGGGACGGAGTTGGTACGCTTGGCTTCCCGATGTTTACAATATGAACCTCGAGAACGTCCAAACCCAAAGTCCTTGGTTGCTGCATTAACTCCATTGCAGAAGGAGGTTGAGGTATGCCTTTCTTTTATTTTTAGAAAGAAAGAGTTTCATGTGCCAAGTCAAAGAAATTTGATTGCTGAGATTTCTCTCTCTGGTTTTCAGGTTGCTTCTCACGTACTTATGGGGATCCCCCACAGAGCTTCTTTATCTCCTCTATCGCCTTTTGGTGAGGCTTGTTCAAGAAAGGACTCGACTGCAATGCACGAAATCTTAGAAAATCTCGGATATAAAGATGATGAAGGATTAACAAATGAGGTTTGCTCATTCTTTTTGTTTAGAACATCTAGAAGCATCCATTATTGCTGTCTAATATATGTCCTTGCTGTCATGTTTAATCATTCAGACACTCCCTATAGGAGCGCCTCTTCATTAGCTTAGTTATGCATTTTATCTAAATTTGTGTAATCCTTGTCGGAGGTGAAGAGTGTTAAACATTTTGTTCCGTTCAATATGCTGCAGCTGTCTTTTCAGATGTGGACAGACCAAATGCAGGATACATTGAACTTGAAGAAAAAGGGCGATCTTGCTTTCCGGCAGAAAGATTTCACAGCAGCAGTTGATAGCTACACACAGGTTTGTATTACGAATAATCCAACCCTTAAACAAAAATTATTGTTCTCAATCTTCTCTTTATTTCGATCATTATGGTGCAACTGAGATCCGGAAATCCTAGCTATCATCTGGGGATGAATGCCCTTTGAATTTCCTCTAATCTAATTTCAAGGAAAAAAAGTTCATGATATTTATGATGACTGTCTGAAATCCTCACCATTTCATTAACTCGTTGGGTTACACGATAAATAAGATCTAAATCAGCTTTTTCCTTCAACATGTAGTTCATCGACGCGGGAACCATGATTTCTCCAACGGTTTTTGCACGCCGCAGTCTGTCTTACCTAATGAATGACATGGCTCAGGAAGCTCTGAACGATGCAATGCAAGCCCAAGTCGTTTCCCCGGTGTGGCACATTGCGTCATACCTTCAGGCTGCGGCCCTCATAGTGCTAGGGATGGAGGCTGAAGCGCAGGTCACACTTAAGGAAGGCGCAGCTCTGGAAGCTAAGCGGAGTACAAACACGGGCCAAAAATGAAATACAACTCTGCAGTACAAACTGGACACTGCTGTTTGCTTGGATGAACGATGTTTTATGGGAGCACGCGACGACTGAAGCATTCTCAATGTCCTCGTCTTGATGCTACAGTTTGTCCATTCTCCCCATGCAGAGAAGTGTCTTAGTCATGCCATTTGGTTCAATCTACTCGGACATTTGTATAGGCTACATCCATGTTCTTTTGTTTCCCAGTGTCCTTTTGTGTTTTTTTATTTTTTCTGTCGATTACGGATGAGAGAGAAGGCTATTTATCTGGAGGAAAGGTTTGCAAGCTTACATTCTCTGTATAGAGACAGTTTCTATCCTGATTTGGAAATTCAAGTTGAGCCAGAGACAGACAGAGAGGTCTCCTTTCTGTTTCGGTCAATTTTTTCTTTTCCGATTTTAGCGTGGTCTGGAGGGTGAAGTCCGTCTTATAATCAAAATGACGGCTTTTTCAGGACAACCCGGTGAAAGAATCAGTAATCTCTCTAACGTTGTCAGCACACATTTGTCTAATCATCGGTTTTCTGGAGCACTTCCAGATGTTTTCAGGGCCTTCCAAAGCTTGAGATCTTTTCTGCCAGATCAAATAATTTTTTCTGGTCAGTTGCCGCCTTCACTGATGTGCTCTCCGTCCCTTTCCGCGGTTGACTTGAACAACAAGACAGTATCAACTGTTCTTCAATGGCACATCCAAGTTCCCTCAGCCTTGGTTCCAATTTTTTCCCCAGGTCTGCTTCCTGAAAATTTATGTGCTTGTCATGGATTACATGTTCTAAACCTCGCGAACAATCACTTAGGTGAAGCTATTGCGTCCGGCTTCCAAGACCTCCAGACACTTACACACCACTATCTCTCTCAAGAACGGAAACGATTCATCTGTCTACTGCTCTCCATATATCAGGGCAATGTGGAACCTTAAGTGTGCTGGTCATTCCTGAGTTTTCGAGATGAAGAAATGCCGAGACACGCTGATTTACTGTTTCCAAATCTAAATGTGTCCGTGAATGGCTACAGTCAGTTGAAAGGGTCAATGCCAGTGTGGTTAAGGGGATGCAAAAAGTCAGCATTTGTTGGATCTTGCATGGAACCAAGTAGTAGGGAGAATTCCTAGCTGGATCGGCTTATCGGGTATGCAATGTTTGGCATGAAGCCGACATTCCTGTCGGCTTTCGATGTTTCTTACGGTAAGTTCTCTTGTGCAATTCCTCTGGAAGGCCAGTTTTTTACCTTTCCGGACTCAACCTATCCAGAACTGTGGACCCAACCAGGTTGAGACGAAGTAGTGCAAAAGAACAGTAGCTCGGCGAGATGAATTTCAAAAGTGAGAAAAATTAAAAAATAAAAAACAAGAGAAGGGCCCAACCGGGTTCGAACCGGTGACCTCTTGATCTGCAGTCAAATGCTCTACCACTGAGCTATGGACCCATTTGTTGAACATGGCCCCAATTTAAATATTTATATAATATTTTGGTAAGTAATGCCACCTTTCGAATAAATTTCATAGTTTTTTTTTGTCGAAATAAGTTTTATAATTGATCCCTTAATGTTTATGACAGGTTGACGCTTGAGAGTCTCCTTGATATCGAGGCATGAGCTCGATATCAACACTGCCAATAAATTCGCAAATATTGATAATTTTACTTCAAATAATCTAAACATCCAATTTATCTGATTTGGTAATGTGATGAGACGAGGAAAACAATATGGTCATTTAGAAAATAGGAAAAAATGAAGAAAAGGGTCAATGGAGTTGCTTCTAATTGTGAAATTCTCAAGATGGCCCAAACTAATTCACCGCAAAATGAGGCAGAAACAGCATCCTCACTCTATGCACGTCGAATTAATAAAATGCAAATCAAAACAAATTCAAGATGGCATCAAGAGTTCAGTTGATCAGCAGGGTAGCAATATTCCCAAGAAGAATTGGCTAGAGCTGATCTTTTTCCTTGAAAAGAAATGGAAAGTCAGAGTATTAAGGAAAACGAAAATGTGAGGTCACATTACAAGAGATTCACTGGATAGCTAAACTGGTGTATGAAGCTAAGACTAGTTACATCCCTCGAACACTGATGATATTGCTTCCAAGACTCTATACAATTCCACGGTGATTCACTTAGCCCAAAAAAGGGAAAAAAAAATCCATGGTGATTCCTAGTCCCAACACCAATCGAGTGTGATGGCTCATGATCTCTCAACCAACGCGGGGAACAGAAGCAGTTCTCTTTTCTTGTAGCTCCACTTGTGAAGCTCGAAACGACTCTTTTGTCGGACCGTAGTACGCCGGTTTATGGCCAGGAAAGGTAATGAAGTTCCAGCCAAAAGCTGATCCACCAACAATGTATGACCCCCGAGTCTCGAGCACTTCAGGTTGCCGCTTTTCAGTGTCCTGGTTCTCTCCTTTCACACGCTTCCCGTCTTTCACATTGTTATATTTCGTAGAAGAGATTGATTCTGCACTAGCAGTCATCTGTCTGTATAGTTCCATAAACAGCTTCAGCTCTGTAATATAAGACAATCAGAATCACAAACCTTAGGCGCACAAAAATTATTTCAACCCAAGAAAAAGGTCACTTTTCTATGGAGAGAGACGATGCTGACACACTTCGCTGTGACATGAAACCATGATATATGCAGTGGCCGGAAGATATGTTGCACGAAATTCTCACCGTGCAAGCATGCATAGTTCTGCACATCGATTCCAATTTACAAGTTATCATCAAATTATTCTTTACTAAAGCAAATTTATTGCTACTGATCTCCACTAGATGGCTGCACCCATGTTCATGTAAACATCTAACAAGATAAAGGAGTCTGAGCATACGATACACCAAGAAATTCAAGGAAAAGTACGAAAACTTTCCAAATCATATAAAAGCACTGCAAGTCGAACATTTTGGAGCTTACTTTCTCTAATTTCTTGAGCTGCCCTGCAATTCCGAAAGTCCGGGGTTGCAAGCACCTTCAAATGGATAAACCCAAAGAGGCATTAGGCTTTACCAGCTTTATGCAGCAACAGAATCAAACATGTGCAAGAGGGTGAAAAGCTAAGTTTTTTCGTCGACCAACAGGATATAGTCATCGTCTACGTATTCCGCAAACTTAGATACAAACATGCATACTCCAATAGGATATAAACCACCCAGCAGAATTCAAACCATTTCATGTATTGAAACAGAGAGACCTTCAACATTCATCACATGCCAATACCACAAGCACACCAGTTCAAGTCCAAAACTTTCAAATTTTTCCCCGTGACAATTCCCTTGAAACTCAGATTGTAGAACCCCAAGTAAGGGTCTGACTTGTAATTTCCCAATCGTCAACTTGAGCCATGTTTCTTAAGCATCACGAAAACTTGATGCCCAGAAGAATTTATTGCTGAATTCAAAAGAAGCGAACCGAAAAGATGTGATTTTTCGGCCATATTCACAGCAGATACTGAAAAGCATACAATCGCAGGCCAACCCAAGCATCATTTTTCGTCTACTCTTTCACCGGGAGCGGGAAAACTTCCCCTAGAAAAAGAAAGAAAAAGAGTATACCAAGAGAACGCGAAATATACAGCAAGAAATCACGAACCCAACATTGGTAAAAGAGCAAAAGAGATCATTCCGACATGTGACACCGCCCACGAGCGGAGATGGAAAGCAAACCTCGATGAAAGAAGGGCGAAGGTCGCCGAGCACGGAGCGCATCTTGTAGTAAGGAGAGGCTTGAATCCAAACACTGGGCTCGAGGGGTCTTTTCCTGTTGCTCCTCTGGCGCTGCGGCTGCGGCGGTGGCCGCGCCGGCGGCTGCGGCGGAGCTGCTCTGGGCGGGGGCGGGGGCGGTGGCTGATTCTGGGCGGGTTTCGATTGGTCCATGTCGGAGAGAGGCTTTTGGGACGGAGACCCACCTTCCAGGTCAAGGCAAAAAGAACAACTCGAATCGTGCGGCCCTTCCAAATTTCAAGTGATTTGACCAAAACAAAAAAATTGAAGTGATTCCATTTTTTGACTTAAAAAAAAAATGTGATTCCGTTTTTGACCAAAAAAAAAAGTGAATCCATTGTACCATGGCCTCAAGAACAAGTAAAATTCAGGCCCATATAAAGGAAAATGACACAAATGATCTCTAAATTTTGATTAAATATTTAATGTGGTCCTTGAATTTTAGTCCAATATGGTATGTCGTCCCTGAATATTTTTAAATTGTTCAATATGGACCATGGACTTTTGGTACATCTTCAATTTAGTCCCTAGACTATACAAAAATATTCAATGTTATCCCAGAACTTAAATTAATGGAAGGACAGCATTAAATATGTCAAAAATTCAGAAATCACATTGAATGATTTAAAAGTTCAAGGACCTCATTACACATTGGGATAAATCTTAGAGATCACATTGAAAAAATTAAAAGTTCATGCACCACATTATATATTATATCAAAGTTTATGGACCATTTATATCATTATCCTCTCATATAATGACTTGAAAAAAGAAATTCGAGGAGTTGCGTATATCTATTAATCATGTGTGAACATTGCTGACTAAGGCCTGTTTATTTCACGAAAAATAAATGATTTAAAAAATATTTTCCTAAAAATAATTGTTTATATTACCTAAAATAATTAGTCAATTGAAAAAAAAAAATCGTTATCAGAAAGTTATTATCAATTTGAAAATGCTACTAACTATAGATAGGTTTACTTTTAAAAAAAACAACGGTTGGGTTGAAAACCACTTGTCCTAATGCAAATTCTTTTAATCCTACAAAGAGGGTATGGTCCTTGTTTTGGGCATGCACATTCTCAATCGATAAGAATGTCACTAATTTCAGTGAAAGAAGTTACTCTTTCTTATTACTTTTCTATATAGAGTTACTAATTTTGCAAAAACCTAGCTATTAAATAGAATTGATTATTAGTCCCAAAAAAAAAAAGAATTGATTCATAAAATGCCTATTCGATGCAACTTACTTAATAGAATAAAGGTTTTCTTTTTTATTTTGAAGAAAGTACAAAAAAAACTGTACCTTATTCCACATATTTTTAGTTGGCTGTCACCTGAGAGTGCGAAGGTTGCCGGTGACTGTAGCACGAGCTTATCACCAACATATTTCATTTCAATGGGTTAAAAAACCTCCTTCACAAAAAATAACTGTCATTAACTAAACCTTCCACCACCTCTCTTCCTCAACCCTTCGACTCCTTTACACTCTCTGCTACTTCCCTAACATGTCCTCCCCTCCCTCCACTCCCCAAGTCCAAAACCCTAATTCCAATTCCTCCCAATGGCACAGCCCACAAGCCTCAAATCTCACTCCATGCATTCCCAGTTCACACCAAAGTTCATCCCCAAGTTGCCCTCAACTCCTCACGCCATTCACAGCAGCACCATCTCCTTCAAGGTCCTCTCCTGTCAAGCTGGAGATTCGAGCCCCCGGAAGCCCCCCGCGATCATCTCGATCCTCCGGATGATACCCGACTGGGCCGATAGCGTGAAGGAGCAAGGGATGCAGCGCAAACGGACCCTCTACAACCACGAGAGCTGGCTCCAACACCGGAGCTCGCAGCGCCATGTCCGGCACTTGCTCTCGAGCTTGTCCTCGCGGGTGATCCTCTCTCTGATACCTCCGGTGATGGCTTTCACTCTGGTGGCGGTTATGGTCGCGAGTTATAATACCGCTGTGGCGATGGAGTGGTTGCCGGAGTTTTTCCCGGTGCTGAGGACGTCATCGTTGCCATACCAGCTGACAGCACCGGCGCTGGCGCTCCTTTTGGTGTTTAGAACGGAGGCTTCGTATTCGAGGTTCCAGGAAGGGAGGCAGGCTTGGGTGAAGGTGATTGCAGGGGCTGATGATTTTGCGAGGCAGGTGATCAGTACGGTGGAGAGCAACGAGGATTCGGCACTGAAGAAGGCCCTTCTGGAGTATATCATGGCGTTTCCCGTCGCACTTAAGGTCGGTTGGTATTGACTTCTCTGTTGAATTGTTGCTCAGAAAACTTGCTTAGTTTAGAAGTCAGAGGTGAGATTATCTATGACTTACATTCTGTGACTTTTATCAATTCAAATGCTCGACTCCGCTTTCGATGCTCAGAGATAGTGGACTTTACATATGCAGTGTCATGTTACTTATGGCTCGGATATCGGTCGAGACCTTAGAAACCGAATTGAAGGGGATGATCTAGCTGTGATTCTCAAGTCAAAGCACCGGCCTCGCTGCATTATCGAGTTCATTTCCCAAAGCCTCAGATTGTTGAGCTTAGAGGAGTCGAAGAGACATGTCCTGGTATTTCATTGCTCAACTAACAAATTAAGTTTCTGAGTGAGACTGAGCACGAGGGCCTTGCATTTGCAGATTCTTTATTTTACCAATACCAGATGGTGACCATTTGATTTATGCAGGGAGTAGAGTGAACTTAATAGGCCTGCATTCACTTTAATTTCGGATCTTAATCATGTAGGAGTCAAAAATATCTTGCTTTCATGAAGGAATCAGCATCTGCGAGCAACTAATTGGCATTCCAATTCCTCTCTCCTACACCCGTTTGACCTCGAGGTTTCTGGTCCTTTGGCATCTGACTCTTCCTGTCATTCTTTGGGATGATTGCCACTGGATTGTGGTTCCGGCCACTTTCATCAGCGCCGCTTCCTTGTTCTGCATTGAAGAAGTATGATTCCCTATTGCTTTCTGTTCCCTCGCTCATCGATTCTACCTACACCGTAGCTAAGTTTCCTAGTGAATTACTTGATGATATAATCTTTATTGGATGGCGAAGAATATGTGCTGCTGATGAGTCAGGCAGGCAATGGTAATCCACATTCATATGTTCGAGGAATTTAGGGTCTCTTGATTGGTTAAAGTGAACATATTTTTTACCGAAAAGTTATTTTACAAAAGATTCTGTTCCAGACTGTAGAATGCATTCCTTCAGGGAAATTTGTTGCTCTCTCTCTTGACACGGACTATTTTCAGCTGTTCTCCAATTGTATTAAAAGCTTTGCCCTCTCATACATTTCAACTTTTCCTGGTTACCGCTAAGCTGTTGCCTTGGCAAGCTGTTAAATGCATAGATGGGACGGATCCCACTCAAAAGCATGAGTTTGACACAGCGCTAGAGTCTGCTTTTCAACCTTTGCTGGGATTACATTCGATTGTGAAATCCATATTGAAGGCTGTTATGTATAGTGCTAAAGTTAATAGAAAGAACAGTCTACTCTCGACACACGGTGGGAATCACCTGGCAACTCCCACCAATCCCTTTCATATCGACATGACTTGACTTCTGTCTTGACATCTGCAGGTTGGTGTTCTTATTGAAGAGCCATTTCCAATGTTAGCGCTCGATGAGCTCTGCAATCTAGTCCGCCAAAATATTCAGGAAGCAATTCGTACCGAGAGAATTATTGGCAAGCGTCTTCTTGCAAAGAGGAAGAGCCCCATCCATGAGCAATCACCTAATGGTAGGCCAAAGCACCAATCTGAAAGGAGAAACAGGAACGAATAGTTTGTCAAAGTTGCCATTACCTTGCCACTGGCACATAAACGATCAGCATGATTCCGGTATCCAGATATGCACTTATACTATTGCCGCGAAGGAAGACATAGAGCTGTTATGATGGAATCTTGGGTACTTTAGCTGTCGGCCATCTCAGCGCTATGTCGTATATATGCTGTTCACTCACTGATGGGGGGATCATACTCTGCATGACCGATTGCATTAGCCCGCCATTGATTCACCATGTGAATGGCGTCCAAGTCACCAGCATCGGGTGAAGGATCATTACTTACCAAGTTTCCACTACAGAAGGAATTTGGCACGAAACGCAGCAAAGGATGATCTTTCTTGTCTCTTAGTATTTAGCAGTACCCGAAGAACACCATCGTCATGGCCGGAAATACTGTAATTAGACTTGGAAATCCGGAAATACTGTACTAAGACTTGGAAATCAGAAGCGAAGTTCTACTTTTAGCCCGTGAAAACCTGTTCCTGTTGAGCTTCTCTGAAGGGACGATTGTAGAAATTCGCTTTTGTAAAATTATTTGGCGATCGAATGTGATCAATATTGTCATTGGTGGCTTTTGTGCTAATAAATTCCGGGTCATCGCAGCTTGGTTAAAATTCAGCTCATGCTTGACAATACGATCATGCAATGTAGCCAAAGAACTGATTTTGAGCAGGAATTTAAGTTGCAATCTCGCAGAAAGATTAAATTATGGGATAAAAAAAAAAGAGTTTTACTGAGAATAGAACAAGGAAAGAGTTGATATAGATAACATCAAAGCGAAGGAATGCAAAATGTCTGAGCCCGGGTTCGAACCGGGGACCTCTAGTGTGTGAGACTAGCGTGATAACCGACTACACCACCCAGACCATGTTGGCAATGTCTCACGCACAAACAATTATTAAATTAACAGCGTTCCAAAGAACATAATTAAAGGGTCCTTTTATTTCACAAAAAATGAATAGTTTAGAAAGTAGTTTCTTGAAAATGATTGATTATATTACTTAAAATGATTAGCCAACAAAAAATGTTTATATTATTGACAACAATTAATGCCAAAACATTCTCGTGGATGATGAAATTTTTTTTAGTTTATTTATTTTTGTAATCGATATAAGCACTCATTTTTAAAAAATTGTCTTTTCAAAACATATATTTTCCCACAAACAGACTTAAGGGTTCAAAATGAATAACATGGTTGATTTCATTACGATAAATGCAGACACTAAGCTCTTATCTGCCTAGTTCTCGCAGTTTAGCTCAGGAATTCTCGAGGTACGACTTGCATCGACATGTTTCTCTGACCTCTAGCTCTCTCTCAAGTATTACTCAAACTTGGATAAATTCCAGAACGAACTAACTCAAATGACAAAATGATTTTCATTTCTTTGCTTCAGCCTTCCTCAGCATTGCTTCGCTTTGTTCTCGCCTCCAGAATGCAACGTTGACCTTTGCATATATGCCCTTGTTTATACATGACTTCGCGTCTTTCTCCCAAGAAGCAAAGCCAACCCAGAGTAGCGTCCTGTCCATTTTGCAAGCCATGAGCATCATGCTCATGCTGTGGAGACCCTGTATGCAGCCACTCTGATCCGGTAGAGCAGAGGGACAAGATGGTGGTTGTAGCATTCCGGTCCATGTCATGGCCTCAACATTGCCGGGTTATAGTGAGGAATGTTGGTACATGCAAAAGGGACGGCAGTAACACGCCCCAAACTCACCTTGAGTGAAAGATAACTTATGAAATGATACACGAGGGGTTCTCTGTCTGAGTTTGACGCACTTGTTTTGGGTCAGATTGTTGTGTAAGGTACCTGGAACACTGAACACATGTTGCAAGCTGCTATACGAAATGACCTCATGGTAAACCAACTCTGATGGCAATAGCAATTATGCTTATAATCTAGATGAATAAAGCTGGAGGTACAAAGGCTAGTCTACACAGTCGATTTACAAAACGCAGCAGAACGCTTGGATGTAGTACATTTGTTGAAATAACCACTTGAATTTGCCGATGTCATTTCGCAAATCAACATTGAAAGGAAGCCAGTTTTTGTGAGTCTAGCTTTACTCTACAAAACCATGCTCAAGCAGTTTTTCATTATTCTTCCCCAATATATATAAAAACAAGATGATACACACACCCAAATATGACAGGAATATCATACAAGGTCGCAGAGAGAGGAAGTGTCATATAGGGTTGCCGAGCATGAGGTGTGCTCGTTCTTAAACATATCTCTCATTGAGAGCATTGAATGAAAGAAAGAGATGCATATTCTATATATGCTGCAGGCTGCGACTCGTGTCATAAGATAGCACAAGAACAGCAAACCCGCATTGTCTTGTCATATTGCATGTTCTCTTGGATTTTCTCTAGCTGTAAGATTATCTCTTCAAACGTAGGCCTGCAATCTGGATTCTTATGCCAACATTCTCGAAGAAGCCTAATGAAAGCAAGCATTTACACAAATTTGTTACTTAGAACAAGTATCCCGAACCATGGAAATCATTGATAGAAACAACTTGCATGAATGACATCCATGGGTTTCCAGTATCTAAGTAGAAAAATCTGGCCTGAAATGATTGCTGGGTCAAGATTTAGTGTTAAAACTTATATTCCTGGAGAGAAAAACCCAAAATAATGCACTATGAGCTCGTATCTTTTGAATGTGGAAGGATTTCTTTACAGTTCCCACAGTACATAACACATGCAGTATATCCTGTCTGGCTATATGCAGCTTTCTGTGAAGGAAATGGTTCAGAAGGAATGACTTACGCTCTAACTGATTCAGGGTGTATGTATGAAGAGAGCGGTGGACGGGAATCCTCGTATGCTCTTTTATCAGCGACTTGTTCTGGGGTTTGTGCCCTATGAGATGGTCCCCCGTAATACATCTGGAGACAATTTGGCTTCTCTTATGAGAAATGCAGTCATGATCAACGTGTCTTGATAAGCTGAATGAGCTTTTAAAATATCCAAGCAGTTGACGATTCATGCAAATAATGAAATTTAACTAAGGTCTGAAGTCTCTCAAGTGTAGAAGAGAATAGTCCTTCAACTAATCATGAGAAGAGGATACACCCACAGTCGTGTGTACCTCGTAGACGATCATGGCAAATGAAAAGACATCAACACTCTTCCCATATGATTCTCGACGATAAACTTCTGGGGCCATGTAACGATCTGGATCAACAGCGTATAGTTTATTTAGCTATACGGAAAGAAAAAATCAGTAACTAATCAAAAGTTGATGAACAGTCAATCTAACATGAGCCAGTGCAACCAGTCATTTTGTAACCCTCTGCATCTTTAGCCAGTGCAATCTTGCTCAAGCCAAAGTCTGTCACCTTAAGATGGCCGGATTCATCTTGCAACACATTCCTGCAAGAACTCCAAAAGTGAGAAAATCATTAGGTTTTTTCTGATTTGAATGCAAAAACTGCACCACTAGATGCCAAACATCTATCACCACCGCTGACAATGCCTCCTCTAGAAACTAAAAAGCAATAGGCTAATCATCCTAGCAGAAACTCACAAGATATTATTTACAGCGAGAGATGCCGAGCCTCTCTGTCTAGAATGAAACTAACCTACATCAATTGAGTTGATTGAAAAGCTAGTCTTGCAAACACGTGCTTTCCTCGCAGAATGTTCTCCCGTGTTCAAAACCATGTATAAACCTAATCAAATTTTAATATACACTGATACTAGAATTTGCTTCTGTTGGAATTATTCTGGTATGCACTGCCAACTATCAACAAGGTAACATTACTACTCCATGGATGAATTATGTCAATATGTCGGAAGAGCAGAGACCTCAGATTGACCAAAGATGACCTTCCTTCAAAACAAAAACCTCAGTGAACCATAGCTCTCTAGGCACAGAATGGTTGCAAGCACTATTCCTATGACTTTAAAAATGAGACGGACGTACTCGACCATTGCCACCCTCACCTATACACTGTGGCAACATATTTTGTAAGAGCCCCCCCTTCCCTGCTCAAGTTATATCACGAAAGAGAGTTTAATCAAAGTAAAATACCTCGGCGTCAAATCTCGGTGTATTATTGCGTGCGGTTTATGTTGATGGAGATAATTCATACCCCTGCATAAATCGCGAGGATTCGGCTGAACTTGAGTTGCATAATGTGTAGATTAGACCACTAACAGTTTTAGCCAAACAGTAATAGCTATACATGCTTTCATAGCATAAGCCATGGATTTCAAGCATGATTCCCCATATCAATTTTCAAATGTCACTGCAGTTCTTGTTGATTTCTGACGATGTATTTTTTATAATGCTACCAAAAAAATCACCTGGCTTTAACTTTATTTTCATTGGGAGGAACTATCTCTACCTGACCAAAATAAATTAAAAGAAAATGCTAAAATTGCAGCACAATTCAAGATCCTAAAGAAGACACTGAAAACAAATGGTGAAACTGTTGATTGGATCGAACACAAGCATAACCAGATCCAAATGCTCTAGTCCTGATAATCATCGAAGCAGCAATTGGGAAAGAAAGTAGTAATATAAGTATGTTAACAGTTGAAACTTTCACGAGGTAAAACCTATTGCAAAAAAAGAAAAATAATTATAATTTTACCATTGAAGGGCTACATAAATCAAAATGCTGAAAAAATTTATTGGCTGAAAGAAAAACTTGCTCCAGAATGACAGCTAAACTGGAGAAAGATCACTTCACCATCATCATTCAGGATAGAAGGATCGACAATATATACCTTGCAATATCCAAAGCATATGCAACTGCAGTCTGTGGATTAAGTCTTCCTCTCTTCCTCAGTGTATCAAACAAGCTTCCCTGAAGCAACACCAATGATGGGAAAATGAGACAACCAAACTACAGTTAACTCCATTAAAATGTGAAGACTCACATTGCGGAGATACTCAGTGAGAAAGATCAAACGATCAGATTGCTTTAAAACACCAAGGAACTGCACAATATTAGGGTGGCGCAGCTTCTGCCAAAGAGCCAGTTCCTTCATGAAGTCACTCCTGTGAGAATATAGTACATATACTGTATGATTTCCAGTTGCATCATACAAAAGCATCCAAGTTTCAAGATTCTGGCTTTTTGCTGACTACGGGATTCAAACAAACACAAATTGAGGTGCCTGCACTCCACCCCATCCCACCCCCCCCAACAAAAAAAAATAAAAAATAAAAAATAAAAAAACGACTGAGCCAGTGCGCAGTTGATAATTCATGTTTTAAGTTCTCAATCTGACTAATCATCAGGAAAGAAACACAAGTGTCACTTCATGTTTCAAAGCTGCACCAAGTTTCAAGTATACAAAATCTTAGATTCCTATAGTCTCATGGAGGTAAGGAAAATATTCCAAGTATTTATGTGCAACATCAAAGTTAAATTTTGTTAATATAACCCCACCATTCACAATTTAGTTAAGCATAAAGTTAAACAACTTATCAATTAATCTATTCTCCGTGGAGAATAGACCTATGTGGCTATCAAACATTACTATCGTATCCTAGATTTTCCAGATTCTATCATCAACTCTCAGTAATGGAAGATGGCAAATTTTTTTCTGGGAGAAAATTTTTTATGCACATTTTGAATGAAGATTTCACTTAACACATGCATAAACCAACCTAACTCTTGGATTTGAGGCAATGGAGGAACGTATTGTTTTTGCTGCAACTTCTGTACCACGCCATTTCACCATATATACTTCGCCAAACGCTCCCTGGTAACCAACAAAGTAAGGTCAATGCAAGGCATTACATAGATTACATAAAGTACCTTAGAAAACTCACAAAAGTTTGCCATAAACATCAATCAGTTTCTTACTTCTCCAATTAGAATAGCACTCTCCATGTCAACCTCATCAAAGTCGATCTCATAGCATGGATTTTGTGCATCACGTCCGACCTGTTCGAAGCATTAAGATGAAAGGAATACATTGTAAACTATCCAATCCACCCAAATTGTGGCTGTATTGCCAAATTTATGTGCGCTAGGTTACTGATGGGTGTAAAACCGTCTATGTAAAGCATCTGCAATGTCGAACAATAACTTGGCTGAAGTACGTTCATATTCAACAAATTGATCGGCCAGCAGATTCCTAAATTTTGACATACAATGGCAATCTAAGAACATCTCTAATCATTGAAGTCCCATTATGAAGCTTACTTTTGTACAGAAGATACACAAATTTTTTTGCTTGAGTTTGTCCTCTTGTAAATGGAATGCCTCGGTAGAGGCTTCATCCTGTGGCGAGGAAGATACCAGGTCCTAATCTTTACCAAGTTTAAATATTTGTAACGAATGGAAGTAGGAAAAGCATCATACGGAGAATCTCCAAAAGAAGAGTTATCAGGGAAAGAATTCTTCAGCCGTAAATGATGGAAGTCTTGAAATCTAAGTCAACAACTCATACGACCAGCCTAAATTAATGCCGACGGAAAAAAGGTGGACATTTTGCTTGGAAATAATGGAAAGTGTAGAAATGTCACATTATATACCACCACTCAGGAAAATAGCATACCGGATCTATTCCTCCCCGAGCCATCAGTATCTTACAAATGTCCTCGTGACCAAAGCTACGGGCATCTGATAATGGCTGCAAGCTTATTGACATCAGCGAAAGTTCTGCTAAGGAAAATAATTAATTGGAGAAGTAAATTCTCCCAAAAAGTACTATTGATTGCTCCAAACACTTCCTTAGAAAACCCAATTATAATGAGAAAAATGCATATTTATGGATGAGTATCACAAGAAAAAATGCTGAAAAGAATCATGCTTGTTTACGCGATAAAAGGCATTTGACATATTCCAGTCCTCTTTTTCTTTTTTCTTTTTTTGTCTGTCAGTCCTACTCATAGGACGGGAGAAAAATAACTCCTTTAAGAGATTGAGGAGCATCTTTCAGAAAATGTGAACAGGCTAAAATAATTGAAAGAGGTGAGAAGCATTCTAGATAGTTGCACAATAGTTGACATCCAACCATGCTATTCTTGAAGAGATTACAAAAGCCTGCTACATTTTCAAACCTAACTAAGAGCTTCATATGTAACTCATGATTTTTGTCACAATAAAAATCATCTCTCTCTCTCTCCCTCCCTCCCCCCATATCATGATTGACACATTTTGAGCATTCTAAAAGATTTAGTTAGCAAGTTAGCTTCTACTGCAGCTAAGTAACAGAAAATGCACTCTTCTCATCAACATGGTATGCGTGAATACCAAGGACTGGTTCAGATGCCAAACATAAGAAAGAAAAACTTACAGTTCGACCCCAACGGTCAATGGAGTTCACATCAGCTCCTTTCTCAAGAAGTAGCACAACCACCTCAGTGCAACCTTCGCATGATGCCAAATGGAGAGCTGTCCTCTTATCATAGTCAGCCAAATTTGGTTTCACACCCTTTTCCAGCTCCTGTAACACCCCTGCTTTGTCGTTTTTACTTGAGCAAGAGAGTAACCTGTATGGTCCTCCTCTGTCGATCGTGTGTCGCAGCATGCTCTGTGCAACAACACAAAAATTTCACAAAATCATCGATCGTACAAGCACCTTTCCAGCCAAAAGTTTCAGCATCCACCAACAAAACCAAAATTGGTCAATGGACAAGCAATGCGGAAGACCGTAGATTACTGAAACTTCATCCGCCAGATGAGCTATACTATAAGTGTGTGTTTTCAGGGGAAAAATAATCACTTGAACCCGAAGCCATATGACGGGCAACAAAACACGCACTGGCAGTAAAAGGATTAATATAAATTCACAGCTTGCAATGGAAACTGAATCTCTTCAAATAACCAACTTCGAAAGGAAAAAGAAAAAGACCCAGAAACTCATACAAACTGAGTTGTGAGATGCAACTGCACAACACACTCGTTTCCATTTTGGTAGATACTGGATAACGATTATTCGATTAAACCATCAGCGAAACCAATCACTAGTGACAAAGAACAGCAAGCTAGCAGAATTCAGCGGAAAAGTTACATTGGAAACGTAGACCCTGTACCTCCGGAGGCAACGATCGGGGGTCCCCCATCACCAACTTCTTCGCGAGTGACTCACAGAGCCACTGAGCCGCTTAAGGGGAAACACCCATGTCTTATCGACAGATCGTTCGATGCTCGGCGAAGCGCTCGATGCAGCGAAAAATGGAAGTCCAATACGAAACCAGGAGTGCAATAACCGACGCTGTGACGGTGAGCGAAATCGGCAGCAATCATCGCAGCGTGCAACAACTGGGTGGCGACCGACGTAATAATCCAAAAGGGTCTTCATCCTTTCCGCGGACACAACGAGGGCCCGCTTTATAAATTCCTTTTCCCCTCCCCCTCACGACAGCTCACCCTGTCTTCTTGTGGAGAGCATCGCGGTGGAGCCTCTGTGCTTCGAGGCGTCCGCCGAAGCGAAAAGGAGGGATTTTGAAGCCGACCCTCGGTGGGAAAACCGAGTGACGACGCGCCTCTGTTCGTTTCTCGGGAAAATCTGCAGAGGAGGGGGAGGGAAAAGTCGGGAGACGTCGCGGAGCCATCTCTTTCTCGAGCCCAACGTTAATGGCGGATCAAAGGGTAACGAGTTCGAGCGTGAGCTCGGTGAAAGAAGGGCGGGGCGGGGCCAACAACTCCGAGCAACCGCTTTTTGAATGTGAGCTGACGCGAGTCAAACTCGGACAAGGTGACTACGTTGGGTCTTCGACATGCGCCACCGCGTGTAATGAATCTAGGACATTTCTATATATGCTCTGGCGACATGATGTTTCGTGTAAATTCTTCATTCTGATGAGTCCTCGAACTTAGTTTTTCTTTCGCAAAATTGCTCCGTATATTCGAGTTTTGTAGCATATGATGTGTATATTCGAGTTTTGTAGCATATGACGTTTTATCCTTCGTAGTGCTCGATACGGCGATTAGTGATCGTTAGTGGAAAAAGAAAAGTAGCAGGTCAGCACAGGTGCATATCGCGTGTGCTTTTTGTAGGCATTTTCGTCCAAAAACTTCGGTTGCCACCTCCCACGGTAAGCCACTTCCCACGGTAAGCGTTACGAGCCATCTGAATCGAAATTCTCAGTTCATTCTGAACATATCAACTCCTCCAGGAGCTGCAAAGAGATGAAGGGCCTTCGGGCAAAACTTCATGCAATTATCATGTTGGCATCCCTCAATCGATAGCCGTTTCTAAGTGAATGAATAGACTACATTCATCATACACAAAAACGAAACACAGTGGGAACCAAACTCATCAAAAAACAATGAGACTGACACCGGAACCACTAAAAAAACGCAATTTCTCACACTATTTCCAAAATACGATTGCCTACATTCGCTTCATCATATTTTTTCGTAAATGAGATTTCGGGTCGGAATCTCTCTCCTGTGAGGTTGTTACTACAAGTCGACGATGTGAAATCTTGGAAATGTAGGATGGATAAGAACAGTGTTTTGCATGATTATGTCAAAAACCGCTATCCATACTAACGGGTACCTAGAAAAGAAATACAGTTATCTATTTCTCTATAGTATCAAAGAAATATAGAAGGAACAACCTTGTTCATATTTACAAAAGTGATGTATATTCACTTCTTCGGCATCCATTCTCAGAAAGAGCGCCCAACATATTTACTGGCCGCAAGTATCATAAAGAGGGGGCCTTCGGGTTCACAATTCAACAAGAATTTGATGAGCAAGGGCAACTCATAGTGCTAGAACTTTACAGCTAATTACATCATAATCAGAAGTCAACTTGGATATAGAAGATCCCACCATCATTCCTCCTGCGTTTTCACTCTGGTCCACATCGAACATCACTGTGCTAAGCCCCTTCCCTATGATAAATAATCTCTTGCCGATTGCCACAAGTCGACATGGAGGTTGAGTTAATAGCTGTGACAATCTCCTCACCACCACCCAATCCTTGCTTTCCTTCCGCCACTTCATCAGCCTGAGTCCTGAACTTTGATCCAACACATAAAGAGTCCCGTCTATGACGACCGCTGGACCCTTCCAGCCAGACGCAATGTCAGCATCCACATGTTGCCACGAGCCCCTCGATGGTTCGTACACGATGGCATAGACATGAGATGAAAGTGAAGAACCACCGCAGCGGATATATATTTGCCCATCCAATACCACAGAATCTTCTACTTCAGGAACGAGGTTAGGGTCCTCGTGAGAGATCCAACCATTTGTGCTGGGATCATAAGTGTCCCAAGAATTGGGACCGCTCAGATTTGTACCTATACCCCCAATCGCATAAATTTTCTCATCCAAAACTTCACAAGCAAAATAGCACCTGAAGAGCTTAACTGAGTCAGATAAGAAGTTATATAACCTTCAGTGCATGAGAAAAGAAAAAAGAGGCCTGTGGAAGCTCCATCTACACAAAAATTCCCATCAAACAATCAATTCACCAGTTTTTATTGTTCTTATATCCCCCAACTGGTAGAAGGCAAGAAGCACCACCGCCAATCAGGAGCATGAGGGTTCATTATCATTCCCTTGTGGGTGACAAACTGACCTTGTATCGGAGAGATCATAAGTTCTCCCCTACCGTGTAGAGTTTCAGAAATTATTTACTTACTACTTCCTCCTCTATTGTGTCTATCAAGTTCTATTGCTGCTATATTTACCCTAGCATTCTAATATGTGTCCTCATGAAGATGATCTGTCCTAACACGTGCCTAGAATCTTCCAAAACATCATTATCTGCAAAGTTTTGTACTTGTAGATGAATGGGGAGTAAAAGGACCAATCTTTCGTTGAGTAGATATTCAGATCTAAGCCCTACAAAGATTAAATTAAATGATAGGAAAAAAAACATGCACAGGAAATAACAAGACAAAAAGGGTGTTTCAATATGCAAAGGCTAGCATAGGGGCAATTTTATTCATACAGAACGTTAACATCACCAAGTACCTCGCAATCGACAACGAAGCAGTTTCATTCCAAGTGTTGGCAGAAGCATCATAGCAGTACACTTCATTAGTAGCGTCTTCAACCCAACCACAACCTCCCAAAAAGTAAATATTCTTCCCCAGCGTTTCAAACCCCATTCCTTTTCGCTTTGAAATTTGAGGTGGAATGCCTTGAATTTGCTTCCAACACCTTCGCGGGGAATTGGGCTCTAATACATAACAGAAGCTACGTTCATGTTTGTCTCTACACAAAGCATAGATCCATGCTTCGTCTAGATTATGCCTTCTCCTGTAAGAATACCACTCATCACTACAAACAATGTCTCTCCATTGCTTAGACACACATTTCAAGACTGTATGGAACTTCCGTGGAAGTCTTGCCAAGCAGGAAAGAGCGACATCATCAGGAAGCCCAGGTATCAGAGGCTTTTGAGCGAGTTCATTTCCAGCTGCCACTTCGGACATGCTTTGAATACATTCCATGGCGGTGCCTCAGCCAGGAAAAGTCAAATTTTGGCTGAAAAGGAAAAATTTAATCGTCCCCACACCTTCCCTTGCAACAAGCCCACAAAAATACCAGACTCCAAAATGAGAATTTACTATCTCTCTAAGCACAAGCAGGCCTCCACATACAATCAATAAGCACAGAAGCTTAGTTTCATCCGTGCAATTTGCCTACAGGTGGTATGCACTCAAGAGTAAAGCAATGTAGAAGGCGACCTGCAAATAAAGAACAAAACTGAGAGAAAAAGAAAGAACAGTTAAAGATATATCACAACTTAAGATACTCATCATTCTAACTTACTTCAGCACAAGAAATGACGCGACTTCATGATAAAGCATACGATTAGGGTGAGGGTAGAGTCCACCGTTTTGCTTCAATATAACACCCACTGCGCAAACTTCTAACATAAACGATCGATCAAGACCGACAACGACATCTCTTTGCTAGATCGGTGACCCTCAATCAACATTCAGCTCAGCATCACTCTCTCGAACACAGGGGGGAGTAACACACGAAAGAAGAACATACTCTGTAATTTCCACATCTTATGCACCCCCTAAACGTTGGATTACCTTCAATGCGGACGGATTCCAAGGAATGACAACGTTTTCCGGAACAGACAAACATGAAACGCGAACAAATCGACCCAGATCGCAAAGCAAACTAGATTCGCGGAACAAGAACCGAAATCAGGGTACGCGCCGGAGTCGCGACGACGGGACACGGGACCCATCTAGAAGCCAGAAACAGCACCTGACAACACTACGATTCGGAGAAACTAAGAAGCGGAATCGGTCGAATCGGAGAGGCGAAGCACGAACCTTGGGTTCTCCGATGATCGGAGAAGACGAGAGCGCTCCTGTCTTCCCTCCGATCTGCAGGAAAAGTGACGCAGCGAGAGCAAAATGGCAGGGGAGTGTTATGTACGTAAGAACTTGAGAAAAACAATCGCTTAGAAGAATAAAAATGTGAAGGGTTAATTATACAAACGGTCCCTTAACTTTTCAATTCGTTAAATATGATCCCTAAATTTTAGCTTAATATTCAATATCATTCATGAATTTCTAATTTATTCAATGTGATTCCTGAACTTTTCGTAAATATTCAATCTAGTTCCTAAACTATACGAAAATATCCAAATGTGATCCTTACTCTAATTTAAGTTCAAGGACACCATTTAATATTTTCATATAATTTGAAAATTAAATTGAATATGCACTAAAAGTTCTGAGACCACATTGAACAAATTTAAAATTGAGAAATAACATCATATTAGGTTAAAGTTTAAGGATCACGTTAAACAAATTAAAATTTCATGAATAACATTGCACATTGAGCTAAAATTAAGGGATCACATTGAACAAATTCAAAGTTTAGAGACGATATTACACATTTGGTTAAAGTTCAAGAATCATTTGTGTCATTTTTCCAATTGGAAACTTTCGTCTTTGGGTCGAGCTATTTCCATTTTCCATGCATTTTATGTCTAAATCCGCATATTCTTACTAAAAAGATATAACTACCTTAATCATCCTATGGAAATTTAAAGCGATGGACTCTAAATTTATACACTTTCTTTCATTTTAATTAGTGATGGACTCCAAATTTATTCACTTTCTTTCATTTTAATTTTTCTACTTCTATGTAGAGTCTAATTTATTTAATAAAGAATAATACGTGCTTTCTCTTCTTCTTTTTTTGAAAATTATTTCTACATAAATATTACGAATGCATATTGAAAGCATTACTTTTTTTTTGGCCTAATAACCTAAAAAATCTCAAACTTTCTCTCTTGTCCCAATTTTGCCTTTTGTCTCATAAAAAACCTCAAAGTTTTTGTCATGTCCCAATTCTATCCTAAACTTTTTTTGTTCCATAAAGAGTCCTCAATTTTAGGCCAAATCCCAATTCTATCCTAAACTTTTTTTGTTTCATAAAAAACCTCCAACTTTAGGTCTAATATCAATTCTACCCTAAACTTTTTTTTTGTCTCATAAAAAAAAATCCAAGCTTTAGGTCCGATTTTAATTTCACTTTAATTTTTTTGGTCTCATAAAAGATCATCAACTTTTAATTAAGTCTCAAATCTACTCTCCATTAACCTTTCGTCAAAATCGCCCTCAGTGATTTTGTACTCTTCGATCTCTTGTGCTTGGGAATGTTCCATTTCTTGCTGTCCGAGAGCTCACGCTTGGAACACTCGAGTAGCTTGTGCTTGAGAGTGTTCCATCTTTCGGTTGTCAACGAGAAATTTTGGACGCATGGTTAATGGGGGCAGATTTGCGACTTAAAGAAAAGTTTGTATTTTTTTATGAGACTATAAAAATTTTAGAGTAAAATTGGGATTTGACGGTAAAATTGGGACAAGAACTAAAGTAGGATGTTTTTCATATGACAAAAAAAGTTATGAAAGAATTGGAATATGACCTAAAATCCAGGGTTTTTTATAGGAAAAAAATAGTTTTTGATAAAATTGAGTCTGGACCTAAAGTTGAAAGTTTTTTATGAGACAAAATACAAATTTCGCACAAAACAAAAGTTGGAAGTTTTTTAGGGGATTAGGCCGTTTCTCCTGTTCTTCTTTTGGGATCTTATCGCTATAAGTATTAGCTTCCTCGAATAAAGATATTCCAAAAGACCTGGTCATCTTTCATGTTATCAAACAAATTTATGAATTAATTGTAAAGGAGAATCCAAAAAACTTTAAACATTTAATATTTAGAAACTTCTATTTTTGTTGTCTATATCACCGCCAAACTCTTTCAAATCGATTGTGTTTTGGAATAGTTGTCGATGCCGAGTCTGACGAACATAAGGCACGATATGACTGTTCCATGTATACCGTCAAATGTGTCTCAAATAGCTTACTTACACTACAAAATCCTATCAAGTCTATTCCCTTTTTCATAAGATTCGCTTCTGGCCAAATGCAAGTGTTAAATCACAAGCATATGAGCTTAGCCTTTGAGTTCGGTCGGACGTATTCGATGTCTAATTTAATCAAGACTTGGAACTAAGAAAAACTCAAGTGATGCCCGGAGGTTGGCAGCCTCCGACAGTTACTTCCGTTACAAGAAAAGGTTCACCACCCTTAATGCGGTTCGCAGGAAGGCCAAACCCATGGTTCTCGTGCATCATCTAGAATGCTATTTATGTCGACACTATGAAGAATGGCAACTGTGGAATAGAAAGCGAAATTTGAAACTCTATAGAACTAAACAAGAGGAATCGGGATTATTTATGCAATGCCTTGCTTGGACATCACAGCTTCGATGGAGCAAGTGAAGCCGATGGTTTAGCCTTCCTAATTAAGCCCTCTTGCACGAGGGTCACGAGTAGCTGCCATCAGGAATAATCAGAAACACTTTGTGAGTCCAGATAAAAGAAGAAAGACAACAGAAAATTACAATAAAAAGGTTAAGCAGAAAGTGGAGAGCGGCCAAAAGAACAATTTTGGTGATTACCTCCCCATTTCTACTAAACATTCGACCAGATACAAGGCCACGAGCACTGTGGGCGATGGGACTCAAAACCTGTAGATCACTATATCGATTAGCTTCTTCGCATGTCTAAACAAATCAAACCTTTCAAGTGATCTTACCTCAAATAAAATCCAGTCATCAGCTCTTAAATTTCGGTGGAACCACATCCTGAGAAAATGGAGCGGGAGGGGACAGTTAAAATGTATTCTCAGATTAGCTACAATTATTGTATGCTCAGGTTCACTTGAGAAATCAGCAACATATAACTTGGACGTAGACTTCGTAACAACCTTTAGCCCAGTTAATTCCATAATGATAAATATATAATAGTTTGATCGCATTCGTAATATAAGAGCCACGAGGATTTGGAGAGCAAATGCCCCACTCAGGAAATGGTGCGATCCTTGCAATAACCCAACATCATGAGACCCAACCGAAGATTAATAAAAAACATGATACTCACGCATGGTCGAGACTAACGGAATATGTCTTCAGACCCTTTCTACGGTGAGGATTCAAGCTAGTCCCCAAAAATATTAGATCTGAAGCGAATGCCACCACACATCTGCAAAAGATTGCAAAGAGATCATCTAGTATAAACCAGTGGTACATTGTTCTTCTGATGGAAAAAGACTCTAAAGTCCGATCCACAACTAACACATTTAATGATCCATCTGGTCATTGTCGTAATAACATGTATTACGCAATAATATGGACAGACACAAAATTGACTTTAAGAAGATAACAAGCATTTCTTGAGGCAGTTGAAACCGAAACTAAAAAGCGGTTTTGAACAGGGGCAACAGACAATCAGATACCCTCTGAATCAAAACAGGATAGAAGTCACACTAATCTGTCCCCCTGATTAGTATTTGTACCCCCATGACATGCAATTGTGCATCTTAAGAAAGTACCTACCTATGCAGGGCCTGGTCGTCTGAGAGCTTCCCTTTTGCTTTGAACCAATACCTCAAACTGTCACATGATCAGATCAGATGTAATTCAGATGTGACACGAGACATTGTGCATACAAATGAACTGCCACATTTTTATGCAAAATGGAACACATATCACAGCCTCACCACCTGTTGTACAAACAAACTGTGTATCCAACTATAAGTTATGGCTGACCTGGGAGGGGTTTCGGTCTGATTGGTGGCGTTGCTAGGCTCACAAAATCGTATCTCTATAGGCCATGGAATAAACTTTGTCGTGGCCACTTTGTTTCGGTAACCCCTGAAACATTGCCAACATTCACATGATATCAACATACAAGCAAAAAGGCGTGTGATTGTCTTCGAGATAAATATGCAAGTGGTACCATCAAGACAACTGGTAATAAATATCAAGGGGAATCAGTCAAGAACATATCTGGAGACTAATATGAGGGAAGTTTGCTGGACTCTCTTTTGACAACGATAACATAGAGAATGAAAATTATCATTTTATTTTTGAATATAGTAAAGGATGTGCACAAATGCACCTGTGCAGATATGCTGGAAAGATAATGGCCAAAAACAAACGAATGGGAACAGAAAGACAAACGATACATTGTATGCATCAGATAATAATTGTTATTACAGTACATAACCTTACCTGGGTAGACGAGGATCAATAAGACGCCTTTCTCGTAGATCTTCCAATGATAGAAGCTGCAACAAGCATGGGTTCGAAAATCAAATAAGCAATCACATGGAGAATGCAAAAAAATGCAGTAAGCCGTGTTTGATTCACTTACCGTCTCTGGAGCGGGAACTGATGGCATCATTACGACCTGATGTTCAAATCCTTCTTCTTCAGCCTGTAGAATTGTTTACACAGAGTCAAAAGCATCACATGATGCTGAGAGCATCTTTCTATTGTTCGTAGATAATAGACAGGATTATCATCAATCAATTGATGCTTGAATTATGGCTAAACTTTCATGAAAGGACGACTATTATACCATTTGATACTTGCTAAAACTTTAAAGGATGGCCGCAGATCCACCTGAAAACTCCAAATGGACTTTCGTTTTGTTTTTTTACATTTTTAAATCCTACACGCTTGTATCTCCTAGGGTTTAATACTTGTTACCTCAGTTCACTTATGTAATTCAGAAGCAACTTCAATAAGCACAATGGGGATATCCTCAGAACAACAGACATGATGAAAACCCATGCAAGGGTCCCACAACATCCTTATAAGATAATGATTTTCAGCAGTTTCTCACCGTTGACTTCTTAGATAAGTTAACTCAATAACATATCATAACACTTAAAATACAGAAATTTACTTCTTGAAAAGTTTAATGTTCTAGAAATGGCACAAAACAGAGACTAAAACACTATAGCCAATCCAACAGATAACAGCAGTACCTGAAATGAAGCAACCAACGTGAAGATGACTGTTCCTTTTTGAATTGCATCTACTTTGCGGGTTGCAAAATTTTTACCATCGCGTAGTCGGTGAACTTCGTATATAATTGGCACTGCAATGACGCATTAATGTGCATGATGCAAAAGCAACTCAGAACAAATTTTCAGAAAAGAGTAGACAATGCTTATTCTCTGATTTCCTTAAATTCCAAACTGCTGTTGCACTGCACACAAGTAGAAATAGAACTGGCACCGCAATCATACATTAATGTGCATGAGGCAAAAGTGACTCAGAACAAATCTCCAGAAAAGAGCAGACAATGCTTATTCTCTAATTTCCAAAATATTGTTGCACCGTGGACAAGCGGAAATAGAACTGCAGTGAGAGTGTAAAATGGAACCCAAAACAATTTTTTCATTCTAACCAGTCAACTCTATGAAAACAAAAATTGCAACAATGGGTGGTCTAAGACTAAGACAAGGTCCATGGAGATTTGTTAGTAGCTGACAGTTATGGGACCAGATGTACCATAACACCGTAAATACCGCTGCAAGATTTTTAGAAAGAAATGCAAAAAGTGAATAAAAACTTTGTGCGCATAGATGTTCGATGAAAAGTAGAAAGGACAGGAAACAGCCGACGAGCATACTACACTACTAGGTACTGAAAAATGTACAATGAATACTTACTAATAAGGTCCCCAACCAGAAGAAAATAAACATGCAAACTGTGAATAACCTTAAGACAGTCAACAGTTTTTGATGCTGCAGCTGCAGCCTGCATTATCAAGTACTCATACTGATTAGGATCAGTATAGCTGCCTTCAAATAAACATAAAATATGCTACCACAGTCAGATTCAAAGTGAGATGAAGAGATCAATCTACATGATGCAGCACTAAAATTTAGTCAAGATCATAAATTGATTTATGTCGAGCAAACTATTTCTAGATCTAACACTATTAGTCATGGGATGCGAATCTACAACAACCTTGCTGAGACACACTACAAGACTGATCAGACAAGACATATATCATCTTCTGTCAACTATTTATTAATGAAGATGGACGAAGGATTTCAGAAGTTCCAATGTCCTTCTGGAGGGAAGAAATTGCTGCAGAAGACTTGACATTAAGTACTAAACGAAAGCTATAAAAGAGAAAGGAAAGAATAAATTGTGAGTCAGAATGAAAATAACTGCCACTCAATCAACAGAGAAACTCAATGGATTTGGAAGTTTGTAACATCTGGAATTGCACAGACAGGAAATCAATGGTCTAACAGATTAAGCATACTGCATATTGCAATCAAGTAAAAATTGGTAAATGTCGATGTAATGCACATGAATCAATGATCATAGACAGTAAACTTCCACAAGCTAGAAAGGATATCTTTCATTTAGGAATAGAACATTAATCCATCAATTGCCACGTGCCGTTTCATCATGATAGGAAAACACCAACATCAGCATCTACCACTCATTCGATACTTTAGAAAGAGGGGTTAAATGGTTAATTATGCCTGTGCAACCAACTGCCCGCCAAAGACTTTCCCAAATCTCGGAGCCTCCGGCAAAGTGATCCCTTGAAATATGTTAACCTTCAAAACAAAGATGAAATGACAACTTATTCACGGATAAAGACCAGCTGTCTGCTGTCACACTTTTAATCTTAGCATGTGTTGTAAAACTGTAAACAGTAGTTAGAGACCTCTAATATGAAAATATGGGCATGCAATAATGCACATGCAAATATGTTCACGGGAGCTAAGAAATTTTCTTTTCTTAACATCCTCAAGGGACACGAAGCATATCAAGTAGTGCATTAAATCCCGTCGCATAAGACTGTGTAAGCAATGGACAATGAGACAGATCATTTGGTATCGTCATTGACAGTAAAAAGGAATTATATCACTAGATTCAACTTAAAGGACCATAGGACAGCAAGAAGCATAAAAAAATGGGAAAGAACTAAAAAATGCAGTAGCTATAGATAATTCCAAAAGAGGATAACTCTTGATATAACTGGTTGCTGAGGCCATATATCATTAGGCCATCTAATCTTTGACCAGATTTTCTTAAGTTACAGTTCTTTGAAAACACTCATAGTCATGTGGCACCATTAAGCAGCTACTGTGTAATAGTCATGTAGCAGTTATTAGCCATGATAATGATTCCAGTGAAGAAGTACTGAACAATGTGATCTAAACAAGTTCAATTTAAATATGCCCATGCCATCATGGACGAGTGGGCCATTCAAGCGTGAACTGTTACCAGCCAAGCGTGAGAGGATATCCATGATTAATTTAGCACAAAAATGAGGTTTAAAAATGAAAAGCGACCTTTACACAACAATTTGAAACATACTTCTATGGGTTCCAGGTGTAGAATACGCTCAACAAGACAGCACGTTTCATTTGTTTCATCTGATCTCCATATTGACTTAGGCTGTAGCAAATGGCAGTGCTCATGCGGTAGCACTAAGCAGGTAAGCTGTCGATCAAAATTAAAGCGCCGTTGTTATAAACTATAGCAGCCAGAGTAGAGCTAGAAGAGAAATGCAAAGACGAAACAAGCAGTCACCTTTGACAAAGCAATTATATCAGCAGCGTGAACCGATGTTGCTGTACCTGAAATGATTAAATTAAAGACAGTCATTAACGCAATTAAAATAGACTCTTCAGGAAGCCAAAGCAGGCTTTCTAAAGCTAGTGTTGACAAATAACAGGGACATATATATTAGATGGATTTAAACCCACATTACACCATATCCCTGCTATCTTAGTCTGAAAAAACATTACTCTTGTGTCCCTATCCAATCAAGTAAATATAGATGCAGAGATGAAGACACACACACACAAACACACATCAAATAAACTTGAAAATTCAAGAGTGAAAAAAAAGATGTCACTGTCTAGAACAAAATCTAAAATTAGCGAAGTTGTAGATTACTTCAGCCATAGTCCTCAAAGAAATGATCAAACACTAGGCTATCAGTTACATTAACGGACACATCGCAATTACAGTGATGCAGATTAGAATTGAAAACACACCACAACAAGCAATCACAATCCCAGATACACACGAGAGAAGAAACTTGGTATCTCACCATGGCCAAAATAATCATATTTAGTCAAGCGGAAATCAGGGTCCTCCGAGTCAACCGGTCCAGAGACTTCAGCCTGTCATGTTAGCACAGAGTAAGCGGCACATTCAATCTCCACAACATATTCATAGGACCGACACAAGCGGTACAAACAAATTCACCTCGCCCTCCCAGATGAAGTACACTCCTTCACCAGCATCTCCTTCGTGAACAACATAGGCTCCTTTATCTGCACGTCCACAGATCAGCAAGCACTCGTAAAACACCGGCATAAGTAAAAACACCCTCTTCTTGAACCATTACATTCATCAGCACAGGCAAAATAATAATAAAAAAAAAAATTAAACAGAAACCCAAGTAGGATAAATCACTCAACATCACATAATTCGATCAAACGATCACGACTCGCCGTTCGCCGCGTCTCCGACTCTTACTTCAGCTACTCCACATCACTAACCGCAAACGCCAATCGCGATTCACCCCGCACGTCGCCGAAATTAAACAAAGAATTGCACGCCCAACAGCCCCACCCAGAAGTAACGCGAGCGAGAGGAAAAAACGTTTACCATAGTGCTTGAACGTCACGGCGTCGGCGATCTTCCGGAGGGACGCGGTCGGCAGCTTCTGCAGCAAGGGGACGCAGCCCAAGAATTCGACCACTGCGACAAAGACGAACACAAGGAAGTCAACAATCGCACGCGCAAGAAACTCACAGAACCCAAGAATCACAAGCGGCGTCTTCTCCAATTCAATCAGGCAATGACCAACTCTCTCTCTCTCTCTCTCTCTCCCTCTCATTCATTTCCATCTTCCTCGCTCCAGCTTGCGAGCTACGAGCTACGAAACGAACGCGGGAGAGGGAAAACAAGCAGAGATCGAGGGCGGAACGAAGGGGTTTGCCACTACGGGATGGGGGACGAATCACCTGGCTGGGAATCCATGCGCGAGTGGGCGAATCGCAGCTGCAATGATGATGCCGAGATCGCTTCGCTTTTTCGCTCCGGGGAGCAGTTCTCGACAGTGGCAAATTCAACATGAAAATGCAGCGGAGGGGACCGGTGAGGACAGAAAAGACGAGGTTGATAACGATCAGGCGTCGCGCGGAGCACGACCTTACGTTGTGACTCCCGTTCCACGTGAATCACATGTAATTTGATTTGTGGGTGGGTTAGTGTTTGTTTAATTGGGTATAGTAAAGTATAGTGCTTGTAGTTCATTCAGCAAACCTTCCGGAAATTGGAAATAACAGGGGATAATGACGTAAATAGTCCATGAACTTTAATTCAATGTGTAATGTGGTCCATAAACTTTTAATTTGTTCGATATGGTCCCAGGATTTTAGCCCGATGCAAATGTGATCATTGAACTTTTAATTTATTCGATGTGGTCTCTGAACTTTCGCCCGATGCAAATGTGGCACCTGAACTTTTAATTTGCTTAATGTAATTCCTGAATTTTTGATAAATGCTCAAACTAGTTCTTGGGCTATACAAAAATGTTCGCTATTGTCCATGAACTTAAATTAATGAAATGATGATATTGAACATCTTCATATAGTGTGGGGGCTAGTTTAAACATGTATCAAAAGTTTAAAGACAATATTAACCAAATTAAAAGTTAATGGACCACGTTGCGTATTGGGCTAGGTTTGAGGTTCTTTATGGACCACATTGCATATTTGATCAAAGTTCATAAACCATTTGGGTCATTTTCCCAAATAACAATTCATCAGAAACCAAAATATTTACTTTTTTATTAGTTTTATTTTCTACTCTTGAGATCTCGTTTTGAATATATCTTGGACCGTTTAAAGTTAAACAATCCATTTACAAGAAAGTAAAAAATGAAAATAATTTTGTCTAAAATTCATATGATTCGAGAATTTCACTTATGAAGAACGGATAAATGGGGAGCTTTAATATATCTCTAAAATTTAAATTTAATTAAGGAGATATAATCACAAGCTTCAAATTAGCCTATGCAAAGATAGAGTGAAAAGATCATCTAAAGAATATGACACTGAAAAATAACACATACTAAGGTTCCGTTTGTTTCGCGAAAAAATAAATGATTTTGGAAAATATTTTTTTGAAAATAATTATTTATATCTCTTACAAAATAAATGAAATTAAAATATTTTCACCATTCACAAAAATGTTTAGACATAATTGTTGATAATAATAAAAAAATTTCATCGACTAAATATTTCAAACGATATAAATAATTTTAAAAAAAATAAAATCATTTTTTTGCGAAACATACAAACCTAAAAGTGAAAATATCATTGGGTTTGTGGAGAAGCCGACGAACAGTATTCGAACTCCTCCTTCACACGTAAATGTGTAAAAGGCCGGCTGCTAGGAGGGAAGCATCCCATAAAGTAAACGTTGACCACACGATCATCCAGCACCAAACACAAGTGGACCACCCTCGTAGCAGATAAGTTCCGCGACTCTGATTTAGGCTCCGATTGTTCGGTGAAGGAATAAATATTTTTAAAAATACGTTTCTTAAAAAAATTACTTATATTACTCAAAATAATAAGTCATGAAAAATGTTTCATTATCGATAATAATTTACATTTCGCTCGGTTTTTTTTTTTTCTGTGAGTGATACGAGTGATCGTTTTTGAGAATTTTTTTTAAATAGTTCAATTTTTGCTAAACAAACAGTGCTTCAACCAAACCTATTAATTGTGTAGGTTACATCCATGGAGCAATTTGTTTTTAGACCAACCTATTGATGTTTGGCCGTAAGCCTAGTTAGGTTGGGTGAACAGCATCTAATGAACCCACCATTTGACTTTAAGTCTGTTTAGTAACGTTTTTGTTTCTAGAAACAATTTCTGTTCAGAAATAGTTTTTGTATTTATATTCCCTAGACGAGTTTCTAAGCAAAAAAACGCGTTTAGTGACTATACAAAATTTCTATTCCCAAAGTAGAAAAAGAACAAAAATGTATTTAGTAAGACACTAAACATTTCTACTAGGGGTGAGCATGGTCCGGGTGGGCGATTCCCACCCCGGAACCATGGACCGCCCGCTAAGGACCGGTTCCTAAAAATTGGAACTGAGAATCGCCTGTCGATTCCATGGACCCACCCGAGAACCAGACCGCCGGTCCGGTCCGGTTCCCGGGTAAGTCCATGGAACTAGTCCCACTAAGTTTTCTTGGATAAATCAAACAATGGACTGGTCTAATTCTTGCCCGTTGGAGGGTTGTGTTCACCACATGCTATTTTGACTTACCTTAATGCACATGTACGATGTATCTTCAGTGTACACAGAACACCCCTACTTTGGCATTTGATTTCACTAGTCTGATGAAGAAGTCATGCACTTCCATCTAAAATGGTTTGATGCAGAACTGCCCTCTACAACTTTCGAAACTTCTACACAACCTGCTCAAGCCTCAAGAGTCAAGATGCTCTCATTTAAGCTAACAAATTGAATGAGCCTAAAACCCTCAGAAACAATGACAACAAGATTTCCCACAAAGTTCAATTACACATCACAATAAGATTCATCACAAAGTTCATAACTTCACAAGCTTCACATCAAATACATCCGTAGCCTATATTATTTATCACTCGTGGGAGTTTGCCACAAGTTCACAATAGTCAGCAAGTAAGCAAAACAACAACTCTCATATTTTCTTCTTTCTTTTTTATTTTATTTGGTCAAATTTTTTAATTAAAAATTAAAATATATATTATTATTATATTACCGGTCCGGTTTGGGTGGGTGGATGGGCGGTTCCACACCGGGAACCTGACCGGTTCCCTTGGGAACCACCAGTTCCGATCCGATTCCAGGCTGTCCCGGGCGGATCTCGGTTCTTTTGCACACCCTTAATTTCTACTCCCAATTTTTTCATTTAATTATAAAATTGTCGGTGGAGACTTAACAATTCATATTTGTATAAAATTGGACTAGAAATAGAATAAGAATATATTATGATATAGAATTGGATGACCTTAATACAATCATAAAGAAAATTACTCCTTATAGACAAAGCAAATACTAGGTGGTGATCGAGGAAATTGCAATTTAGGGGACTTAACAATTTATGTTTGGATAAAATTAGAAATAGAATAATAATATATAATGATATATAATTGAATGACCTTAATACAATCATAAAGAAAATTACTCTTTATAGACAAATCAAATATTGAGTGGTGGTAAATGAAATTGCAGTTTAGGGTGTAGGGATTTTAGGATTTGGGATTGGGGGCTAGGGTTTTAGGATTTCGATTTTAAGGTTTAGGGTTTGGGGTTTCGAGTTTTGGGTTCGGGTTTAGGGTTTGGAGTTTAGTACTTTAGGGTTCTAGGGATTCGGGTTTTGGATATTGGGGTTTAGGGTATAGGGTTTACAGTTTAGGGTTTGGCCTTTATGGTTTATGGTTTGGGGTTTTGCGATTTAACATTTTAGGATTTAGGGTTTGAAATTACGATTTTAGGATTTATGTTTTAGAGTTTCGGATTTGGAATTTTGGGATTTAGGGTTTATTGTTTCGGGTTTTAGGTTTGGGATTTTAGGGTTTGGGTTTAGGATTTGGGGTTTAGAAGGATTAGGATTTGGGTTTAGGGATTTGAGCATTAGGGTTTGGGGTTTTAGAGTTTAGGGTTTCGGGTTTTTCATTTTAGCGTTATGGGTTTTAGGTTTTGGGGTTTAGGGTTTGAGGGTTAAGGTTTAGGATTTTGGGGTTTAAAGTTTAAGGGTTAAGGTTTAGGGTTTTAGGGTTTAGTATAAGAATATCTTGTGAAAGAGGGAAGATCTTGTTTCTCTATTGTTTCTTTTTTTGTTCCAAAAACAGTAAAGTAGATTTTTTTTTACTTCTTTTTCAAATCTATTCCTTGATCATTTTTCTATTTCGGGGAACAAAAAAACTAACTGATATTACTAAACGTATTTCTGTTCTTTTTCTGTTCCGGAGAACAAAAAAACAGAAAAATAGAAAAACAGAAATGTTACTAAGCAGACCCTTTATCTCTCGATCGAGGTACTAGGGTTCGTTTCTTTTTTTTTTTCTTCCCTTTTTTGGGTCCATTAGAATTGGCTGGATAAATGGGCCTAAAGATGGTTGGGCCCAAGTAGGAAAAACTACCTTATAATCTGGTCACCTAATCGTTTTCGATGGGTAAAGAGATAGAGGAGAAAGGGCGGGCTATGACAGCACAATATTACCATAAAATTCTCGCACTCATACATAAACTATGAATGCATCGAAGCCATGGTTACTTAGAAATCAATATCGCTCGAGACGTTAAGGTGCTAAGTTGGCAAATTCCATTCTATAGCTTCCTTGAGCGCTTGTCACATGGCGAGCCGATTATTGCAAACTCGTTAGAGATTGTTAGCATATTGTAACTCTCTCTATGAGGGTCGATTCGAGGCTAGTTTACAGGAGAATCGCCGATTCCAAAAATTGGGAACTGTCCTTGATTGGTTCAATTCCTGCTTTTATAACTCAAATCGGCAGGTTCTACTCAATAACCTAGAGCCTATAACGCGCAAAGCCGATTCCGGGGTAGAACCTAGAACTTGACAAGTTGATTTCAAATTAGAACCTAGATTGTATTTAACGAATGAAACAAAATAAATAAAAAGTCCCGGCTAGCTCTCGAGTTGACCCTGTAACCTACCGGTTTAGTTCCAAGCGTGTTCCGGGGTCAAAATGTCAGTTCCTAATTCCAAAAATTGATAATCCACTTTGATAAGGTAAGTTCGAGATTTCAAGTCTGGAGCCTACTTGCCCTAAAACCGATCACTCTTACTCCCTAAGGGTGTGTTTAGAAATCACTTTCCCTACTCTTTCGAGCAAATGTAAGTATGGTTCGGCAAATTTTTTGAAGAGTTTTGGGAAGGTGCAATTGCATCTCCAAAGGTCTCTAAAAGCCTTTAAGTTAAGGCAAGTCCCAAAGTATTCTAAGCTTTGAGCATTGTTAGAATGCTAATATTTTTTTTTCTTTCAACTTTGTCCTCTCTAAACTTCCATACTTCAGGAAATGTTCTCACCTTGCACGACATTGCCGGCGAGACCAGATCTAGCGCTGACAGCCTAGCCTGAGATGGTGTGACC